GAGAGAAAGTCCAGCTGTTCGAATCGCCTGAAGAACTGCCTGTAAGCGCTGGACGTGCTGCTCAAACGTGTCCGAGAAGACGACCACATCGTCAAGGTAGACAAGACACGATTGCCATTTTAGCCCAGAAAGAACCGTGTCCATCATTCTTTGAAAAGTAGCTGGTGCCGAGCATAAGCCGAAGGGAAGGACCTTGAACTCGTAGAGTCCGTCAGGAGTAATGAAGGCGGTCTTTTCGCGGTCGCGCTCATCAACAGATATTTGCCAATAGCCGCTGCGTAGATCCATGGAAGAAAAGTAACGAGCATTGCGAATGCGGTCCAGCGAGTCGTGTATTCGTGGTAAAGGATACACGTCTTTCTTCGTGATCTTATTCAACTTTCGGTAGTCGACGCAAAACCGCAGAGTACCATCTTTTTTCTTTACTAACACAACAGGGGACGTCCAGGGACTGGTCGATGGCTGGATGACATCATCCTTGAGCATCTGCTGGACCTGTTGGCGTATAACGTCTTGTTCTTTTTGCGAGACTCTGTAGGCATGCGGTCGAATGGGTCTCTCGGTAGGCTCGGTGATGATACGATGCTTGGCAAGCGGTGTTTGGTTAACTTTCGAAGTCGTAGCGAAGCAGTCCCGAAATGAGCCGAGTAGCTTCAAAAGACGTTCCCGTTGTGCAGACGGTAGACCTTAGTTTACGTCGAGAGTGCTTGCAAATGTCATGGCGGAATCGTCGCACGACGAAAGAGCAGATAATGTTGAGGGACCAGGGACGTCGGCAATATCCTCAAGGTATGCAATCGCAGTGTGTTTGGTAAGATGGCGATACTCCTCGCTGAAATTCGTGATTAATAGGCAAGCCTGCTTTCTACTGGGCTGAACAATGCCTCAGGCGACACAGATTTGTTGTGCAAAAAGTAGGGACAAATTTCCTTCTGCAATTACAGCATCGGGGACGTCTTGGTCACGTTCAACGTTGATAAAAAGGCTGCTGCGAGGAGGCAGAGTAACAAATTCGGAGGATACACGTAGGGCAGCCTTCGATAAGCGGGCGTTTTCCGGTTCAGGATGAAACGGGTCCTCGAACGACACCTGCAAGTCTCGTAGGTCAATAATTGCGCCGTGTTTGCGAAGAAAGTCCAGCCCCAGAATGAGTGGACAGGAGCACACAGGTAATACGAGGAAAGACCCTATGAACGTCGAAGCACGGACTCGAACACGGGCTGTGCACATTCCAGTCGGCGTGACGAGGTGGCCCCCTGCCGTGCGCCACGGCGGTCCTTGCCAAGGGGTAGTTACCTTCCTCAGTTGGGATGCTAGGGCGCTGCTCATAACCGAATAATCGGCGCCGGTGTCGACGAGAGCAGTGACGACGTGATTATCGACGTGTACGGTGATGTCGGCGGAAACAGTCTTAAGACTTTCGGAAACGACTGGAAAGTCAGAACGGTCTTCGTCGGGTCTTTGCGTCGAAGGAGGCTCTTTGACAGTTCGTTGGGACGCGGCTTCACCCCCAGGAGCCGCGGTTTCTAGTTTCCCCTGTGGGGACTCGGTGACCGGCCTCTGAAAGGAGCATAAGATGACGAGAGAATGGTAGCTGACGTGGGGCGGCGAGGTGATGGTGATCGTGATTGGGGGCGTTGACCAAGGCGAGGAGCTTGCTGGCCCGTAAGGTACGCTTCGATGTCGCGAGGACGCTCACCGTAACGCGGGCGCCGAGCATCAGGGTGAAAGCCACGGAGACTAAGTTGGCGGTACTGGCAGTTACGGTAGACGTGACCCGCTTCGCCACAGTGGTAGCAGAGTGGACGGTTATCGTACGTACGCCACACGCTGGCCTTTGTGGCGTTCTGCCGCGATCCAGACGGACGATAAGTTGGTGCACTCGGAAACCTTGAGGCGGGTGGCGGAGTCGAAGAGGTGCCCCGGAATCGATGGCTAGCCTGATCCATTCTCCCCATGGTGGGATCAGGGCCATGTGGTGCAGGAGATTGCAGAGCCGCCACATAAGTCAGTACAGGGGCCTCAGGCCTTGTTGGCGCGAGTGGGGTGACCACCTGTCGGATCTCATTTCGGATTAAGTCTGTGAGATCACTTACGGGTGGTTGGGGTCCCGCTGCTTGGAGTTGGCGCAGCTCGTCCCGCACGACGCTTCTTATGAACTCAGCGAGGGCATGCTTCTCGCTGTCAGCCCCGATAATGCATGCAGCAGGGGTCACGTCGTGGCGTTCATACTGCGACGACCTATACTGGAGAGTACGCTCCATTGTGGTTGCCTCATTTATGAACTCTGCCACGGTCGTCGGTGGATTGGGCACGAGTCCGGCGAAGAGCTGCTCTTTTACCCCACGCATTAAATGCCGCACCTTCTTTTCCTCGGACATTGCAGGGTCAGCACGCTTGAAGAGTCGAAGCATGTCCTCGACAAACATTGAAACTCTCTCGTTGGGTCGTTGGTTCCGAGACGAGATTGCCTGCTCCGCTCTCTCTTTCCTTTCAGTGCTGCGGTACGCATCACGAAACTGTCGGCTGAACTCATGCCACGTCGCAAAGGAACCCTCGTGATTCTCGTACCACGTTTTGGCAGAGTCTTCTAACGCAAAGTAAACTCTCCGCAGCTTGCGAGCTTCATCCCATTCGTTGATGTTGGCAACTCGATGGAAGTGGTCAAGCCAGTCGTCAACATCTTCATAAATGTCTCCGTGAAATGAGCGTGGTGTTTGCGGCGCATGAAAAACATGCGGGAGAAAAGAATAGGCGTCGTTGGTTTGACTCGTCTGGTTGTTAGTTGAAGTTACCATCTCGCCTTGAGAGAGGGGACGGTACTCGGGAGATAGTCCTCGCAGGCGGCGACTGCTTCTTGCCGTGGGAGCTGTAGCTGTCTCCGTTTCCAAGTAGCTCGGTGTGTCGGCTGAAAATCTGCAGCCAAGGCGCATTTACCCCGCACCTCCACCAGTGCCACGAACGTAATTACAGACAGCGACGAAACGACGTCTTGCTTGCCCTCAGACCAGGACGCAAAAGCCCTCTTCTTTCTTCACTTCCCAAGGATTCCACCTACAGTTGATGGCTCATACCCATTACCTGTGACAATATAGATCGATTCCAACGCAGTCAAAAGGGCCCGCTGGATATGGTAGAGGCTGTAATAATCTGGGTGAATGGGCCGCTGTCTTTCGTCGTTAGTAAAATGAACAAAACCGAATGTATTTTTGTACAAAGGTGTACATACCACGCCAGTAGTAACGCTGGCGGACCCGGTGATATGTTTTTAACACACCAGCGTGAGCATGTTGTGGGTCGGCATGAAAATACGCAGACATCAGATCGCATGTGGCTTAATATAACCAAAGCCATTTACGAACATCCGCGTGGTAGTTTCTGCGGTATAGTTGCGCGTCCCATATCTCGAAATGTGTGGCTTGGCGGTGAACAACGCATGGGTACGCAGACGTTGAGTCGGAAAGAATGTTCAGGAGAGATGTTATCCATGAGTTTTTATGCTGTCGAGACGACATGCTTGAGACGGAAATGGGAGCGATGGGGAAGTTGGCGTCCGAATGAGAGTGTCTTCATCCTGAGCGGTAGTCGACACGAATGCCGAATTCTTGTAGGTGAAGAGCCCAACATCCAAGGCGACCTGAAGGATCTTTTAGCAACGCCAACCAACAAAATGCGTGGTGGTCTGTCACAACGTCGAAACTCTGTCCGTACAAGTAAGGACGAAACTTGCTTAACACCCAAATGATTGCGAGGCATTCTTTCTCAGTTACTGAGTAGTTTATTTCCGCTTTCGTGAGTGTATGGCTTGCATATGCGACGACATACTCCGGAATACGGGGCTTTCGATGCGCGAGTACTGCTCCCAGATCAACACCACTGGCGTCTGTGTGCACTTCAGTGGGGGAACTTGGGTCGTAATGGCGTAGAATGGATGGTGACGTAAGCAGGTGGCGCAGTGTAAGGAAGGCTTCGTCACATGCCGGGGTCCAGTTAGAAAGATTAGCTGGACCATTCAGTAGTTGTGTAAGTGGGGCTATTATTGATGAGAAGTTGTGGACGAAACGGCGAAAATACGAGCACAAGCCGACGAGGCCCCTAAGTTCTTCGTCTCTGCATTAGAATTATCTGAAGTAAACATTGCCCACAAAATTATAGAACCTTGGTAAACACACCAAGGTACTACCGCGAGCAATATGAGCTGGGATAAGGAAGTGCAAGGCAAACTGCCTTATACTCAGATTTGATGAATAGTACGGGTCCGCTCAAAATATAGTTTAAAGAGCAGCATTTTTTTATCAACTGTTGTCACTCCCACTGCATATCTGCTTTTACGACGCATGAAACGATTGACCCAGATAACGGCTCAATATTATTGTAGTGTCTTCTGTGGCACTGATGTGCTTGTACTGTTTTCTTGCTCCCATTTTGAAGAACCTTGATTTTATGGGTGACAAACGCACAAAACGAGGAGAACATTGATATTTTGTGAAAAGCTATTGACAGCAGGCTGCTGTACTCTCTGTCATTTTTCTTCTTCATCACCGCGAACAGCCAGTGATATACAATCAGTTGCCATTCTGTACCAAACTGAGGGAGACAGGACTGGCAACGCAAAACCGTGGCACCATTACCAACCACTCTTGTTTTCGGCAGCAGCCACCATGACTTCACTCAGATCGGCTTCAAAAATATTTCTCATTATTTAACCAACAACTCCCAAAACTCATTTCGCTGACCAACTTCATAAGTTCAAGTGCATGTAAACATATATTTGTGGGCACTTCAGCTTTGCATTTCACCTGCACTGAAATTCGACCACCGAGACTCACACCAAACTTGAACTTCAAGCTCAGCACGAGTGTGCTATTGGCTGTACTGTAGAAGACAACTCGCTCTTGTAGTAAACGGACTAATGCTGGCTTATATGCAAAATATTATAATACAAACAATAATTTCACTATAGCTACACATAGCAAAACCAGTAAAGAATGACATCATACTTTTTGATTCCAGCCACTAGCAGACCAGCAAATGGTTGTTGCACAGAAAGAGCAAAGCCATCATCAGACATTTCCATGAGAGCTCGATCCTGAATGCGGGAGCTGATGAATTCTCTATTGCTTGAGGTGCACACTAGGCTGTTGTCGCCCATCAGACGATTACGCCTCGGCGCATGAAGGGCCCCTGTTGGTACATACTGCATGACAGAGCAAGTCATCATTAGTTTATAATCGCAAAACTCTGCTAGACACAATGTTATGAAGCCTAGCAAAGCACGGGGATTGCAATTGTAGTTTTCAGCTGAAGTGTAGTAAAAAAAAGTGAAATAAATTCAAATGAAAAAAAAAAAAAAAAACTCATCAGGGCTGGGGATCAAACTTGTGCTTTCTTTGGCTTCATTAGACGGTGTCTGACAAAAAAAAATGAGGCCTTTAATTCACTCTCTTTCATTTATATTTGTACAATAACAATCAACCGTTTCACTAATTGGGAACACTGGTTCACTAGCGTGATGGATAAAAAAAATAGGTATGACAAGAAAACACGACAGCTTAAGATCACGCAATGGGTCTGAGACGTCTCAGCAATGAGACTCTATTATGAATAATAATACTTGGGTTTTATATGCAAAACCACCTTATGATTACGAGGCACGCCATAGCGATGGGCTCTAAAAATTTTGACCATCTGGTATTTTCCTATGTGTACTGACATTGCAGCATTACGCGGGCCTCTAGCATGTTGCCTCCATCGAAATGGGACTGTCGTGGTCGAAACCGAACCTGCAGCCTTTAGGTCAGCAGCCCTGTACAGTAACCGCTACACGACCGCAACACACAATGTGACTCTGGTGTAGCTGCATTTAGACGAGTGCACTTACCTCAGGAGGTGGCATATCCAAAGCTGGATCAATAAAGTGCATGGATTCCACTTCTCTACACACTCGGTCATAAATATTTGTTTCAGCCATAGGTGCTACAAGTGACTGCAACAAGCTCTGGACGCTGGCATGCTGTGGGCCTTCCTTCACAACTTGGCGCCCAGCAAAGTCTAGCGTCACCTGTCCCAAATGCAAATTACGTGGCTGTTAATGAGGCAAATACTGAGGATGACAGGCCTTTTAAAGCTTCACAATGGACTATGACACACACACTCCTACACCAGTAAATTTTCTGGGTAAATTTCTGGGCTAAAGTAGCAAATGAACGACATCATCATGTCGTGTTCTCAGCATAGCATTTTAAGGAGGTTGTAAAAAAAAATAAATTATGCTTCAAACCTGAGGAACGTGGGATGCTGTAGTGAAGGGCCCAGGGTTAATTTCAACCGCCCAGAGCTGCTAGATATGTACCTAAACATGAGTACAAGAGTGTTTTTGCTTCTTTTCCATCTTTAGAAATGCCTGATATAGCTGGAAATCGAACTTACGGCCTCATAAGCAGAACTTCATAGCCACTAGACCACTGCGGTAATGCAGTGCGACAATGAAGGGGGAATTTAGTGACATCATAACATCTTGCACAATGCAAGATAACACAAATGCAACAGGAGGTCAGCTTGTATTGTATAGCCATTATTCTCGACAGAGAGGTTCACAAACCTTTTGTTGCCGTCGAGAATCATGTAGCTCTGCGTAGAACTCTTGTTCCTTTTTACGAATCATTTCTCGTTGCTCAAGCGTCAGCCATTTGTTGTCGGAGGAATAATAGTCGGAATTGTCATCTATGACCAGGGTACGACGCTGCCTGCAATGACAGTTGCCATGTAAGTGAGAATAAGCAAATGCACCGAAAAGGTCATTTTTGGACAAATAAAAAAACAAATGCCTGGAAATCAGTTTTTCTGTACAACTGACTGACATTGGGACATGTGCTGTGACGATGAAAATTCAGAAATTCAATGTTAGCACCATAGTGCACAGCTTTCAAACTCGCTATATGAAGCATTTTCAAGAGACTGATACTCATGCGAAGTAAGGTGAGAACATTTTTGCTGATCTGCATCCCTCTCTTATCTTCTCAAGTGCCAATAAAATGCAGAGCATGAAGATGTTACTGTTCCTGAAAAGCCGCTGTAGCTTGGTGCAAATATTCAAAATTACAAAACTAACAGTACACTCACGTCAAGCTATTGAACACTTCCCTCAAAGAAAATTTCGCACGGAGACTGTTTATCCCCACAAAGTTTCCCTCCTAATTTCTGTTTCATGTCATGTCTCCTGTGCATCATCAAGTGTAAGCACACCGGTTATTAGCACTGACAGTTGGGGAAGTTGGTGGCGGACGCAGATGAAGAAAAAACCAGATTTTTCGGCACATACGTCTGTGTGGTTTTTCATTATTTGTGTCCCATGTGCTTTTTTTTGCCCCATTCATAACTATGAACACACAGGTTAAGTCGCATTTTCTAGACAAGAAAGTTATGTGAAAGAACAGCATTTTGAACTTGTGTCTACACACAATAAAAGAAATTTAATGCCAATCACAAGCAGTAAACACTAGCGGTACTGCATTTGGAACCACAAAAATTGTAGGCATGAAACAGGCAACACTTCAGCGGCATATGCGCACACGACATACAGTTCACACTAATCTCATGAGAAGTGCAATGACTCACGAGGTACGATCATATTCCAGAAGCCGATTCTTATGCTCAATAGCCTTGGCAAGACCCTCATCAACGATTTGGCTCATCAGCTTGTTTCGAAGCTGATGGCTCTTCTTCGAATCCCGAGACAGGAGCTCCTTTTCTTCATTAGTGCATACCTGCCAAAGGAAGGCATGAAAATTAAAAAAAAAAATGCACAAACCACTCCCAAGCACCTTATAAACCTTTCCACACAGCTGCATAGTGCTTTGTGAAAGATTAGCAAGAGGTGTACCTAGACTCTTGTACAGGCTGATAGTACTGTGCTTCACAACCACTAGATGTTTCAGCAAAAGACGTTCCACATTTCTCAACACTGGACCTTTTCAAAAAGAGCCTCACCTTGCCTAATGGATGAAGTAAACATTTATTAACAGGATGGCTTATTTTAGCCTTGTTCAATAAAATCTACAGTCAGCGTGCAACTATGCTTCTGAGCAGGGATCTATGAGAATATTATAGGGACACTAAAGTAACATATTAGGTCTAAACAGATAATTTATTCTTTTATAACTGTTTGAATGTCTGTTCATTTTGCCATGATAGGATAGTTATTACTAGAGAAAATGAAGGTTCAAGTTTTATGCCGGAATTTTTGACTGGAACTCAAGAACATGAATGTTAGTGTGATGTCACGAAATTCAAAGACTCCTTGCACATTTCGGGTACATCGGTTTCACCATTTTTCGATACTTGCTTAGGTAAGACATTGGTTTCCTCAAAACACCATTCGAAACATTTTTATTGACAATCGATTATGTGGGCTCTCGCCAAGACCATCAAAATTATGACCCCATGGCAAGCTAATGTGAGAACCTGAAGGCCGTAAAGCCATTGGTACTTTTTACAGCGAAACGTGTTATGAGATCATAACTCTGGTCACGCGCAGTTGTCCACCGCCGCCAGTGTCCGTAACCACATCACGCGAAATTAGAAAAGAGCCTAGCACAAAAGACACAGTGGGGCTCAAAACCCGGATCTGCTGGGTGTCAGCCCAGTATTCTACCACTGAGCTACGCCGGCGCTTGTGACTTGTTGGCAAACTTGCCTTAGGCAGGCTTGATGTCAGGAAAACAATCGTGCTAATACGACTTCTAAAGCATTTTAATACAGCGAAAGAACAACCAGTCACCGCACAATGCGAATAGCGTAACGATGTGGGCCGTCCAATGCTCCAACCCATTACAAAAGCTCTCTTGTTCCCCTTTTAACTGTGGCGCATACCCACTTCAGCCATGATTCCTCCATCATCATCAGCCACTGCATGTACGATTGGCTCGAAATTCATTGCAAGTGCTTAAGCGATACCACGCTTCTAAGAAGAATGATGAAAAATAGCTTAGCGAATGCCAGCCTACTACCCAAAAGTTTATTATTAATGCCCTAGTGAGCATCACGCAAGTGTGCTTGCAGTAGTTACCAATGAGTGTTTTGAAAAGGCTTTGAAAGGCCACTCTTCTAGCTCTCACTGTGACTGTGCTGCACTTTCTGCGCTGGCCTTGTGTTTTTTTTTTACTTGCAGGTTTTCTCGCTTACCAAGAGTATTCTCGCAGTACGAGTGGTGCTTTCAGTAATTGTGAAATTGTAGTTCATTTGTGTGAGAAAAACTGTTTTTCTATTCAGTGAGAAACAGTTCATTCATAAAGGCTCATTCATATTACGGTGACTAACAGCAGTTAAGTTGCTTCGGTTAAAAAGCGACAATTTTGGGTCAGTCCGACGATGCTTGATTTTTTTTGGCAAGCTTGCGAGTGAATCGCTAATAAGCTCGTGTGCCAACCAAATGCGCATGTTTACGACACAACAGCGAAGCAGGCAGATGTCAATGGCACTAATTATGAAGCATTTTGATGAGGCGACAAAGAGGTCAAACCAGCCCCACCAGCTCTGTGAACACTCGCTGCGTGGATAATTTTTAATTACAATGCTTGCTTTTATTTTTTAAACATGAGGAACCTCGAATTGAGTCACTGGTAAAGCAAACAAGGAAATATTGAGTGCTCGTTTCTTTGTTGATACAACCATAATGAAAACCACCAGATAATGGATCGAAGGAAGCTATAGGGGACGTTAGTTGTAATGTTTAAATTGTATTGAAGTAATTTTGATATAAATGTGAAGAAAGTAAAGTGGGCGAAAAGATATGACGATGCCGGTAGAGCTAGAACTTGCAATCTTCGGATAACGCGCACGATGCTCTACCAAGCGAGCTAGGACGGCGGTCATTCTCCCTTTTTTATCGGGTGTTTGTGTGAATGCGAAAGCACAATACAGTTTAACAACCCCTGTACCTTCGTAGGCGCCATTATCTGTTTGTTAAGGTCCTTAGTAAGGATTATTGCATGCATATATGTGTGTGTTTCTCGTATGCATGTATGTCACGTAGGTGAAGGAGCCCACATATAACGGCGTTACTGTGAAACCGCGGCCGATGGCGCACCGGGAGAGGGTGGCTCACCAAATTGCCGCAGGTGAAGCACGGTCCCGACCCTTCCTGGCGGCAGACGATGCGACCGCAACGAAGGCAGTTGTTGATGAGCGCGTGCCGGTGGGCCTCGCACTCGCACGGATGGCGGCCAGGAAGCAACTCGACGCCTTGGCGGCTGTACAAGTTGACAAAACGCTGCTTGCGTCGCGTTGCGCTCTGCGTCATAGCGATATTCGGACGCTCCTCTTCGGAAACAGCCTGTTGTGCCATTCCCTTGTTGCCACACAGGCTCGACTCCAGCTGCTCCAAAGTTTCTTGTGCTGGCTGCAATGAGGACAAACAAGCCCCGATAAATCAAGCATTATAGACCTAGGCACACGTCTGATGAAGTCGCATGTTTTTAAAACAACGTGCTTGCCTCCCGCTTCGAACCGGAACCTTTATTTTTCAAAGACTTTCATTTTTTTTTTTTTTTTTTTGTGGCTGGACTTTATCCTGCAGTTCTGCTTTCTTGTACACTGTCGTGGGAGCGTCACCATCTGCGGAACGAATGAATGCGCATGTGGAGTAATCTGCGCCACGACAAAGTCATCAAGAGCATGCTTAACGGCGCAGATGCATAAGTGGCGGTGGTTAATAACACGATGCCTACCTTGACAAGCGCGACCCATGGTGTGTCGCCTTCGATGTTCACACGCCTGTAAATCTCGCTTCGCTGCCACCAATGCAAAGAGCACCAGCACCACAACTTGAAGCGTACGCGAATACTCACAGACGCTTACTTATATCGCAAGAAAGATAGAATGAAGTGGACCAACACTTCTTCAGAACAGCAGCTGCAAAGCACTTATTTTTCTTCTTCTCCTCTTGGTAACAGCATCTTCGTTTCGTCCTCCATGGGTAGCAGACATGCACCTCAGGACCGCGACAAATTAAATAAATTATATTTTTGTCTAATAATTAAACTTGTGCATAACTAAAACAACTATAAATAATTATTGCGCACCGTTTTTTAACTTGTGTTTTGATTAAAGTTAAGTAAAAATACAAAATAAACTCTACCAAAGAGAATATATGATGCGCGCGCAAAATTTCGCGCTACTTTCGCCCCTAGTCTCCCTACTGTGCTCGGCCTGTGCTGTGTGGCTGAAAAGGTGCCGTTCTGAGAGAAGGCGTTTTGTCACTCGCAGGCATTACCAAGAGTTTTTTAAAGAAATCAACGCAACATGGTGCGAACGAAGGCAGACGGTGCCAGCCGAGGTAAGTTGCTACTAGTTGGTCACGCTTTACTTAGTTCAGAAAATGAGGCGGTCTTCTTCCAACTGTGTGTTATATAATTTTAAATATCCTTTGTAGCTGTTGGTGCGAAGTCCTTCAGGAAAAGCCTGAGCAGTCCCGGAGGTGCCTCCAGTTCGAGCTCGCCAGGGTCTCGCAAGACGAAGGGAGGTATGTGACTAGAAATACCGCGGAGGAGCCCGCGGCATTGTGTGCTTTTTTCACAAAACATGGATGACGTCTTACCCTATGGCTGCGAGCTAAATCGTGTGCTGTTTAAGCGCAATGACGTTTTGTGTTCGTAGTGACAGTCGGTAGTTGTCGCACGAGCGCTGACGCAAATCTGCGCATACTTACTCGGTAGTCTACCAAGGGATACGTCATAGAAAGGATGACTTGTTATCAAATGGTGCCTTCCGGTCAGTTTTCTCTAGAGTTGCTGATAAAACGGAAAGTAATGATTGCATGAAGTACTAAAACTTCAGTTTCGGACTGCGGGTAAAGGTAGACGCCAATTCCCGTGAACTACCACCCGGTTGTTTTATACAGTTTTGTGTGCGATCAGCCTGTTTTTTTATGCCGCATGGCAAGCCAACGTATAACGCAAAAAAAAAAAATAGCACCTACATGCACTTCAGTTTAATATCTGACGTTTTAAATCAGATATTAAGACGTTTTAAGTGCGAAAAAAAAAAAAAAACCCTATGACAACCTCTGTTGTAACCCAGGCCCGCTGAAATACTTTAAATACAATAATTTTTGGGAGGGGGGGGGGGGACGTTAAGTGTGGTGATCTGCAGTAATTCTCTCGTCTGAATCCAATCTTAAGGCCAGAGAAGTACATATTCAGTACTGACGTCAATCGGCATCTCTGTTTTCTTGTGTGACGTGGTATACAGTGTACATTTACAATAACTACGTGCTACGACTGAAGGATGTCGCCTTCCCTGGTAATTTCACCAAAATCTGAAGCTGTGCACATGCACCAAGAGATGTAAAAAAACTTCGTTTCCCATTCTCGACATGCACGAATCTGATCCGAGGTAGGGAGGGGTAGGCAGAGGCATGTACACCTTTGCCTTTTATTACTTTAAGAGCAGGGTTGGCTTGCAGCCTTCCCAAAGTCGTCCAGGGTCCATCCTCCCTTCAGTAAGCATGACCATGATAGCGTCACGAAAAGTCACAATGTGAACTGCTTCCCCATAAAAGAGTGAGTTTAAAAATTTGACGAATTAAAATCTACATCCCCCAAGATTTACTAACAATGTGACCAGTGGTTTCGGATGGCGAAGTATTTTCTTCACATCGGTGTTCTTGTGCGTTCATTACAAGTTCACTTCAATCACATGACCCAGTCAATCACTCCAGTATGACGTGACAGAGGCTGCAGAGATGAGAGCTTTCTGTGCTTCATTATTAGATGGTGTCAGTGCATATAGTAGATGCTGTACCTTTCTTGTGTAACGAGTAGTAAATCTGCTTGGCATAACAATCGCGTGTGTGTGCATTAAGTAGAGGTATCCGCTGTGAAAGGCACCTGGCATGGTTGAATTTGTCGGGTATGTGTGGCACATGTGCAGGATTGACCGTAACCTTCGTTTTGACAAGCACTGATGCACTGCATTTGCACAAGAAAGCAAGCTGACATGGTAAATGTGCTATTGGAAAATGCACCAATGAATATGTTACTGCCAACATTTGCTCAACAAGAAATCTTGTTCCGTAAGAGCCTCATTCTGCAGAAGTTGTGAAACATCTATGATGCAGGCCATGTCAGGGCTACCAAGAAAGCTGCAATGCCGGGCTTTTCTGTAGGGTTGCAGCAGTGTGGGTTTAGAACTTGTAGGCAAAAAATCTTCACTGGTTACATATGTGAAGTTTTCTTATGCAAACACAGCTGTATTTCAATACATTTAGTTGAAAAGTGCTTTGAACTGGTTCACGACTGCCACATTTTTTCTGCTCATTGTACTCTATAATAAAGTTCGATATCTATGATGCTGTTTCGGAATGGCTAGTTAAATTGCACGAATTTGTTTGATGAGCTGGAATATAACAAAATATTGGTTATAACAAAGTTAACAAGTCTTGTAATATGTTGTGAATACACCTTTATAACAGTTTTATGCATGATGAAACTTGGTTAAAATGAGGTTTCAGTGCAGTTTATCAGCTTGCAGGGTGGCTGTGAACTTCAATTTCGCCAATGCTGCTGGTGTTAGCAAGTGTTTTATGCTCAATCTTCGACCAAAAAAATGCAGCAATGCCACCCATGTTTTGCTCATGAAAGTAGATGTTTCGGATAGAAATGCATTAACTGCCATTGTTTAATTTCAGACAAGTATGGAGGTGGAAACTCCTACTGCCCCCGGCCAACACCTTCCTGGCAGAAAGAAATTTCGAAGTTCCTGGTAAAGGCAAACACACCTGACACAGCGTCGACTTCAGACGCATCTGACAGCGGTGCATGTGGCAGCTCATCTTCATAGTTACTGGCTGTCGCACTTTCGTTTTTACTTACCGAGTGACATCCCTCATTTTAAAAGTGCTGTATATATGCATGCTTTGCAATGTGAATAAAGAGACAACTTGAGGCTTCTGCAACATTCTGCATGCTTTCAGTTTATTCTCTCACCACTCACACAAAAAGCAGAAACGGCCTGGAGTGACTAAACTATCTTCGTAAGAGAAGGATGGGAGGAGAAGGGAATGGTTTTTACTCAAAATTTAAATGACAAGTATCTCATTTTGGTACTAGAAAAAAAAATGCAGCTTTCTGGCACACACTGATTATCACAACAGCTTGCGTTTGTGTGTGTGTATACAAAGTTCAGCTTCAGCACAAGGCTATCTGTGTAGCATAATTGTCGCACACCATTGAGAAGGGGGTTCTGGAATGAAACTTTTTTTTTTTTTGATCTGGCTTCCATCTCCCAAGGACTTCTCATGCCCAAGCAAACTTTCCCTTCCATTACATCTTTGGCTTGCCACACAGACTAACGAGCACTACAGCGAGCGAGAGGAAAAGACGGCAGCAACATTACTAGAGGTAATGTTTCCTCGGCGAAAAATGCTTTGAAACCACCACACACCCATCTACTTCAGAGGATAGACATTAGGCTGTGTGTTTACCACAGTTCATCATCCACTGAACACTCTTTTTAGCACCCCCTTTTGTAGAATAGGAGGGAGTACTACGGTCAACGCAGTTCTACCATAGCCAGGCACTTTTTATTGTGCAATCCTTAGTGTTATTGACAATATTTAGCATGTCCTAAACAATACGGCTGGCTGGATAGCTTTCCAAACTCCTTCCTACAGTTTTCAGATACCATTGAAATCGAGGCACAAGCATGCTGAAACAGCAGAGTCTGTGCTATCTAAAGAAATAATGTTGCAGACAGTGGCCAAGCTGGCTGTCTGATGCATTTTTTTTTTACAACAGCTGACTAAATTTTATCCAGCCACTTTTCGCCAGAACTTGTCAAAATGCCCTGCCCGATGTACTGTCTATAGCGGGGGCAACATGCTATTGCGGCTGTCTGAGCTCGAAGTATCACATCCACCTATATAATAATCGTCGATCAGACTCATTTAATAATGTCCAGAGGGAAAGGAAATAGTGTCATGGCAGGGCCCATTTCATGCCCCCCCAAAAAAAGAACAGCAGAAAGAGCAAGTCCATATGAGTTTGCAACCCTGGGCAGCTGGAACAGCTACCTGAGCGACAATGAAGAGCACTGTGGGATCACATATGCAACACAATGAAACAATTGAGACACAAAATAAACACATCCACCGGTATTGCATTGTTCCATGCTACAACTATTTAGAGAACTACCATGCAACCAAGACCAGAAACTAAAAAAAAAAAGAACAGTAAGAGGTGATAAGGGGAGGAACACACAACAAAAGGGGTCCAGAAATAATTAAAACCATTAAAGCACACCACAATTTGCTAGCAGCACAAAAAACACAATTTGCTAGCAGCACAAAAGAGATGAATTTGCCACATCGCTTGCCACCTATCGTATTGTGCGCTGATCAATGTGGGTGAACTTGGAGAAAGGCGATCTAAGGAATGCACACACACACACATTAAACACATTCACAGAGGCAACAAGTAATATACATATGCGACAGCAGTGTGCATGAGATCAAAAACCATTCATTCCAGTGTAAAAAGAAAGCTGATGTGGAGAAAGCGAGAAAAATCAGGAAGATGGGGTGTACTGCAGAGACAACATGCGTGTGATAATTGGGCGACTGTAAGCAGTGCCTCAACAAAATGACTAAGTACCACGGCAGAAACGACATGCTGAGAAAGAACAAAAAGCGCCAGAAACCACCAGATTTCAGCTACACTTTAACAACGTACTTTCCTTTGCGTCACTGCCAAGGCTGCAAAGGCAACAAATGGTCCATGCACAGACAACTTCCACCATCTTTTTTACTATAAGTGCTGTGAGAGCAGACATCAACAACTGTGCTTGTAACATGCCCAGATAAAAGAGAAGATTGAAGAATGAAAAAAGAAAAGGGGGGGGGGAGAGAGGAAAAAAAAAAGCAGTGGCATCTCTTGTTTCACCTATTATGTTTTTATGTACAAGGCAGCATAGATAGATGTATTATACACAAGAAGGAAATCGGCGCACTCCGTTACAGTGATCACATACATGGCATAGAATTTGGGGTGGGCGTGGAATAGAGAGACGAGAGAGGCCTTCATCGCCACTAATGTCTGTATTAAATCAGGACATCACTCTCGTGCCTACGACCTTGGCTTCCAACACTCCCAAATGTTGCAACAGCCTTAAACCTGATTATTACGAAAAATAATAAGACAAAGCACAAAAATAAACTAGGAAAGACTGGTACAAAGAACGATGTGACATCAAGAGGAAAAAGAACAAACTATTCTTTACAATTTGTACACTGTGGGAAACCACACACAAATTTTTTTCCTTTTCTTTTTTTGCTTTTATGTGGAGGGGAACAGGCCAGAAGAAGACTTTCAAGCACACAGACCCTCTCTACTTACTAACGTCATCCTTTACGAGCACGACCAGCAAGCTCCTTCACACATGTGCAACTTGTCTTCCTTTTCTTTCTATAAATCCCGCCCTGCATCTGTGCTCAACAACCAACGCTTGCTCCGGCCACCGTCACTTGGTGACTTGACTACTCTCTCTTCGCACAGATATGCACCAGGGATGCATTTTTTTGCTTGACACGTGAAGACTATAGTGATGTCACGTGCCAGCTAGCAAAAAATGTGACGCGGCTGGGCGTGAGGAAACACTGCTCAGTTTTCTTGCTTAGTGGGAAAACATTTGTTTTCTCCCCCTCTCTACTGCTAAGAGTTACCAGGACTACTCAAACTCGCACTATCTTCAGCGCACACATTATCAACGTGTGCCTGATGCATCAGACGACAACGGCGAGAGGCCTGCAAAGGCATAGCGGCATTAAAACAAAAACCTAACTCGCCAGCGAGCCACAGTTTCTGTTAGAACCAAAAATTTTGTAAAAAGCAGAAAAAGTAATAAGACTAATAAGACACCTATTTAACAAAAGAACTCTCTCGTGTCATCTAGGGCAAATGGAAGGTGAGACAAGACAATGTCATCCTCCCAGGCAGTATAAGAAGTTTTTTGGAGGCCTCTAAAGTGAATCCTTACGTACCCTTATCGTTACATCGAGAACCTCAGAACTGCCATAAATATTCGTTCGACAGCTCTCTTCAGCAGCTGGAACTGCAACAGAGGGGAAAAAAAGAAAATGGCCGACTGCTGCAAAACACCACCGTAGATAAAGTTGTTATGCATTCACAAGATAACTGGCAACTTATGACAGCACATGTCCATGGGTGTGTAGTAACTGGCAAGACAGGTCACCTGGTAATGAAACAATATAGGGACAAGAAAAGGGTGGGTGGGGGGGGGGGGCTCGGGCAAGTTCTACCATCCTGTAACACTGCCATTGCACAACAGCCCTAGCAACAGTTGGGCCACTGCAAATACCTTCACAGAAAAGGGGGAAAAAATAAAACAAAATAAAGAAAGCCCTGCCTCCTGTCTGTTCACCATGCGAGTAAGAGTGCACAACACGTCTGACACAGTGGCAATGTGCCCCTCTCGGAACTGACCGAGCATCGAAAAAGAGGTGGGCGACACGTCTCTTCCTCAGCAGTCCGGGTGGTTCGTGAGGCATGGTGGGGAGTGTCTGGTATAAATAGCGCGGTGCCTTCAGAAGGCCGAGGACGAGACATGTGGTGCACCAGCAGCCACCGTGGCGTGCGGAGGGGCAGCACAGGGCACACTCTCCTTGGAATCTGAAGGGGACGTCCAGAGCAGCGTGGCCTCCTGGTCAGGTGTGGCCGAAGCCGCTAGGGCCAGTCACTTCTGGCGCCCTATTTTTTTCTTCTTCTTGAAGAAGCAGCAGCACCTGTAAAAAGTCACGGCATGGGAATTATCAGCTTCACAAATGATATTGGTCAGTTGGCCAGACAAAAGCTCTCAGGGTTATTCAAGCATTTGCCTCACACAACTCGAAGGCAATTTGACTACTACTGATGCCCTGCCCCTGAAAGCCTTCTGACTTACAGTCAGATACAACTTTAGAAGTACGGGGCATTTCCTCCTGAAAGGTGGATGCACACAATCGGGCACCAGTGGGCGTGCGATCCGGACTGATATTATGAACTGGACGCCTAGTGGCCCCGCCTTCAAAAAGCACTATCACTATCAGCAAAAACTAGCGCAACATGCTGTGTTCAGCAAGCACGTGCATTTGCGTTTCCATTCCCGTTTCACGCGACGTGGCAGGAACACCTGGAGTCTCTTGTCTAAGACTCCAAGCATTGCTGCTGCATCGCGTAAAATGCAAATGGGAACACAAATGCATGTGCCTGCTGCGATGGCGTTTGCCACGCACAGCGGGTTGCGTGTGTTTTTGCCGCTATTGAATTTATACACTTACCGAGAGCATGAGAGGGAGTACACTTAAGCCTCATTAAAATGCAGTTGCATCTTGCATGAAAACAAGTTTGTTATATTTGAAAATTCTTTATAAAGGTTTATTCCTTTATTCCTCGCACTATATCTATTGCAAGACTATTTTTCATTTACTTTGTTATAACCAATATTTCGTTATACCGAGGTTTAAGTATGTTTCTATAGTTGCGGAGGTGATCGACTGCTCTGCTTCCATTGTCTGGTAGGGGGGGGGGGAGGGGGTGCTCCCCACACTTTTTAATTTGTATCCGACCATACAGTGGTTTTGTCCTCTCTCTGAGATCGGGGCAAGATTTATGCACTTTATGTGCCTCCGGGACCAACCCACCAAGCTGCGACGTCATGTGATGAAAACAGCATGTGACGCCATGTTTACCACCATGCTGTTGTGATTACACGATGATGTTTTGCTTGACTTACGTTGATGCTGACAGTAACTTTTCCTGCTTGATGGGGCATCAAAAGCCTTCTATTCAATAATTGGTAAACACCTTACTTCTTCTTTTCGATTTCAACTACGATATACTCAACACTCATTTGTTCCCTGACCTACTCTGCTCTTTTCCATAAAGGTTACACCAATCTTTTTCCTTTCCATTGCTGACTGCCTCGTCCTCAATTCAAGATGGGCTCTCTTTTTAAGCCTTCTATTTTTTTTCCTCCATTGGCAGGGGTGGAAGCAGGTTTCAGTCTTCTGGGGCAACTCGGAGAGCAGAATAATGCAGTTTTGGGGCAGCTTTGGAGTATCAAAGCGTGCGCTTGGAAGAAACACAAGTTATTCGGAGCATATTCCTGGATTCAGACATCATTGTTAATTAATTAGAAATCTGTTTTTAATTTCTGAGAAGCAACGAGGTTCCAGCGGCTCTTAGTAAATATTTAAGGCTGATGAAGCAACTACACTCGCCAAGAAATTATATATATTGTACCGAAGCATAGTGGCAGAAGGTTGAACGTGTTGCGAACTCGCTATGCATAAAGAAATTTCAACCAGTGGAGTCGTCACTTTGTTCAGTTTGCGGCATAACACTTCACTGATTATACAAATAGCGGCACCTGTGTCGACAAGAGCAGTTGTGGCGAAACCGTCCACAAACACGGCTATCTCGTTAGGGGGCGAAAGATGAGGCCTTAAAAATTTCGTCGGTGGCGCAGCTCTTGCCTCAGGAACTGCGACTGTTAGTTTTCCTCCTGGGCGTGGTTGGAACGGTGAAGCATGGGGGAAGGAGACCGAAGACGGGGTGAAGGAGATCGACGTTGGCTGAAGTCTGGTCGACGTGAGCGGGGTGTCATGTGAATCAGGTGTCACATGCGATTGATTGCCGAGGTATGTTGCCGGAATGCTGAACATCATTAAAATAGAATCCACGGCGACGACAGTAGCGCGCGACATACGGGCCGGTTATCCGGAGTACGCCAAAAGTTTACAGGTGCTCGAGGTGGTGGAAAGGGCCGATTTACTGGATAAACCGAAACTGGTGACCTGTAGTAGTTGGTGGCTGGACTGTATGAAGGGAGCGGCGGTTGGGCAGGAGGTCGGCGGACGGCGTCTGCATAAGTCAGCGGCGCAGCCACTGATATTGGGGATGCGGGCGAAGGGAGAGCCTCGGCAACTTGCGTCTGAATAGCACGGCGAAGTGAGTGGTCCAGTGTTGTGGGGGTCTCCGTTGATGGTGGCGACAAGAGAGAGCTGTCGAGCAACTTTCTCCCGGATGTACTGTTGAATTTGAGGCGTTAACACGCTGTAGTCGGGGCCACTGCTTTTGCACTCCGAGGCCGAAATATCAGCTGTTGCGTATTAGCGCGACGTGTAGAAACTTCGTTGCTTGCGCAGCTCATCGAACTTTGACATAGCTGAATCACGGCCGTGACGGTCTGTGGGTCTTTGGCCACAAGCATATGAAAAGCGTCGTCATCAATGCCTTTCAATATATTCTTTATTCTGTCAGCTTCCGTCATCCTCGCATCAACTCGTCTACAGAGGCTGATCACATCCTCAATGTAGCTCGTGAAGCTCTCACCATTTCGCTGAAATCGTCCCGGCAGGCCCAGTTCAGCACGAAGCTTACACATGGCTGGACGACCGAAAAACGAGGTGACGGCCTCTTTGAAAACCGACCAGGTGGAGATGTCGGCTTGGTGGTTGGTGAACCATAGGTGGCCAAATTCGTCAAGTAGAAGATGACGTGAGTCAGCTTCGCAGGGTCATCCCACTTGTTAATCGCGCTGGCATGCTCGTACTCTGCCAGCCAGTCCTCGACATCTTGATCTTCAGTGCCGTTGTATACTGGTGGGTCACGCAGACGAAGTACACCAGAACACATGACAGGTGGCAGCGTGGAAGAGCCTTGAGGGGGATCGACGCGCTCGGTCATCGCGGACTGAGATGGTAGCTTACGGCTGCGAAGCTGCTCCAGAACGTTACCCAGCACGTTTCCACCAAATGCAACGAGCAAGGTTGCGTAAACACAGGTTATTATTCGAGAAACGTTAGCCGCAACAAGCTGGTACATGCAGGAACCCGGCAAACACGAGCCACACATGGACGTCAACGTCTTCTTTCACGCTGGCACAGAGCTAGCGCCACTATGCTTCGGTACAATATATACACTCAGACCTCTATATAACGAACCCAGATATAACAAAATATTGGTTATAAAAAAGTAAATGAACATCAGTTTAGCAAGTGATAGAATGTTATAAATAAATTTCTATTACACGTGTTTGGATATAACGTACTTATTTTTGCATAAGATTCAATTTTGTTATAATGAGGTTTGAGCGTGTGTGTGTGTGTATATATATATATATATATATATATATTTTTTTTTTTTTCGCGATTTTAGGGCCTTGAGAAGGGGGTGCGCGAATTACACAGGGATATCGCAAGTGCATACGAAATAGCAAGTCACAGTCCTAACGCGCACAGTATATACATAAAAAAAAAAATTAAAACACAAACGAAGTGTATACTTGTTATTTTTGAAAGAACGAGCACGCACTTTAACCAGTCAGATCCGGTGACGCGCGGTCTAGTGGGAATCACTGACTGCGAAGTCCGATTGGGAATCATCGTTGCGGCTGCTGCCACCGCCTTCCCGAAGCGCATTCTCAATTCCGTCGAGCGCGACCAAATGCCCTATTTTCTTGAAGCTCTTTTGACAATGCTGGGAGAAACTAGGTCCCACGACACGGCGATGCAGGAAGAACTAAGTATCCGCACATAATTGAAAAGGCCTCCTTTAATGGCAGGAAACTTGCATTACTGCTTTCTCTCATACCGATCGCACCGGTCATCGCGCTGGGGTACTTTTTCTGGAAGTGCTTTACTGCGGCATGCTTCCCGTTTTCTTCGGCGAAATTTACAACAGTGAGCTTCAGTTTTGCCATATATATAATTACTGTAGCACATCGCAAGAGAGAGGTCAAAACGTGTCGGTCGGATGGCGAAACCTAAACTTCCGAAACTAGGGGAACGGAAATAGGGGAACAGTTGAAGCGACAGGCCCTCACACGCCTCCAATGCAGAAAGTCATCAGTGTCGTAACGCGAGCGTGCATTCTCGCCATTATCGCGGTGGTAATTGGAAGATAGGAGGAGGCAAACACTCGAGCAGTTCCAATGACCCGTCAACAGGTTTGCGTTTGGGTGTGGTATTCTAGGGACCATAGTTCGGAGGAAGTCTTCGAAAGAAGGGACTTCGTACTCGCAGCCTGTTTGGTGCGCTCGTCGGTTCGAAGAGGCGCGCAACCGGCCGAAGAATCGAGAAGTCCAAAGGTGCGCGCTCCGGCGAGCTGGCTCGGGTGGGTTGGGGAGCGTTAAATATGCGAGTAAAAATTTTTTCCGAAAAGCTGGCAAAATATTAGGGATGTGCAAATTATGCACATAAATACGGTATTTAAACCCACTATTGCAATACTGAATTGAGAAAGAACATTGGTAACAACAACGAATTCTGGCTGTCGCGTGTTTGCGCGGAAAGGTAATGGAGCATGAAGTCCTTGAAAAGTAGAATAAAACGAGAAATTCAAGCTACTGTAGCCCTGCCCACAACCCCATTGTCTCCCAACGCACCTTCAGTTTTGCCATTAGCTTCACCGCACAGTGTTGTAGCACTGCGGCAAAGACGTACAAAATTTGCTATGGCGCGGGAGTGGTGGTGGCTTTGTTGATGCATTTTTGGTCATGCGATTTGAATAAAAAGTTCGGACTTGCAAGAGTTTCAGGGTGCAAAACTTGAGGTGGCTCTATAAGGCTTGTGGCGGTCCCGTGAAAGTGTCCGTATTTTGAAGCACGTGTGTGCAAGTGCTTGCAACTAACGCGGCAGAGATGAAGAGAGCCGGTTATCTCAGTTGCACGAAAAGTGCATGCAATAGCATCGCTCTGTGCGCGAAACATGCTCAAGCTGAGAGCAAAGGCCTCGCCTGTTCACCGTCGGGCAAATAAGTGTGCGGAGAGGCTGCGTCATTACTTGAACTTTGACGACAAAGGCGCAGTCGTTGGCGCTAACGCGCGTGCAACCTCGGCAGAGATCAGCAAATGGCCATCTTACTTTGCGTTAAGAGTACGAAAACCACTTCACTCCATGAAGCCACCATATTCCCATACATCCCCAGCGTTTTGAAGTTACACGAGATGCATTCCAAAAGCCTAGCTGATAGCCTTACTTCTTATAACATTCGATTTTTTAGGGGCGAAGCTCCTTATGGCGTGGCTTGGGCGTCCCTCGTATGTAACCACCAGTGGCACATACCCGAAATAGGTATAACACTTGACCTCCAAGGTGGTGCCAGTGAGAGATTTCTTCTGTGCGTTGTTTAACAATAAAAAATAGTGCTCAATGTACATGCCAATGGCTGCTAATGGGGAATGAGAGACATGAGCATTCGGATTTTTAGTCAACGCGCACGCTGCGATCCCCATTAGCAGCGATTGGCATGTACATTGAGCACTATCGGACAAGAAAGGGATGCTCATTATACTCGCTGGGTGTAACCTCCTTAGCTTTAGAAAGGTTTAGCGAGCGTTGAGCCGCAGTGCCATGAATACAATGAACTTGTATATACCATGAATGAACTCAAGGTGGTTAAAAATGAGAAGTAGATACGAAGCGCAAGCCGTAAGAAAGTAAAAGCCGAATTCTCCTGTCTCTCATTTCTCATTAGCAGCCATTGGCATGCAAATTGAGCCCTATCTGACAGGGAAAGGTTGCTACGTTATACTCGCTGGGCGTTACCTCCTTGGTTTTCGAAAGGTTTAGCGAGCGTTTGGTCGCAGTGCCATGAATACAGTGAACTAGAATATACCATGAACTCGAGGTGGTTAAAGGTGGGAAGTGGACCCAAAGCGCAGGCCGTAAGAAAGTGTGCGTGTGCCACCTCTCGTTTAGTCCTTGGAATGTCCGCTGGATGGCGGTGCTTCTATATGGGGAATATATGATAAAAAAATTACGGCATATTCACGGGGTGAATGATGATGAATGGGCGAAGCTCCGGAGGGATTCATCGGTAAACTGTGAATCTTCCGTGTAATTCGCCCAGTCGATCATCATGTAAAGACGTGAGAAACGCTGTGTGTGTATATACACAAATCAACTTTTATTTGTTCTTAGACGATGGATGGCTTGCGATGTCCCTTGCCTCGCGCGCTCGCACATCGGGATTCTGTCTGCGAGCGCGCGCTGCTGCCGCCTTGCGCTCTCTCCGCTGTGCAGCCTTATCCATCCGGTGACTCCGAGCGCGCGCCAACAGCGAACGGATTTTATTACAACGCTCCCCCTAGCGTACGTCGCCGCACTAAATCGAACGATTGCCTTCAACCAATGACACGCGCCATATGTGACATCATTCCTATTTTATAAGATCTCGCGTCTTTCATCAACTACAAGTACCGCTTTCTAGTTTATAACATCTTGCATCTTTTCATCATCAGCTACAAGTACCACCATCTAGTAAACACTACAAGAACTAAACGAGAGGTGGCTACATACAGGAGACCGTACCGCCATCTAGTGAACACTGCAAGAACTAAACTAGAGGTGGCTACATACAGGGGACGGTACCGCCATCTAGTGAACACTGCAAGAACTAAACTAGAGGTGGCTACATACAGGCTACAGGGGACGCACAGCCCACGCCCTAAGGAGCTTCGCCCCTAAAAGATGCGAGATGGTGGGACTTGGAGTGTTGAATAGATGCATGAACGAACGCAGGGGCGGATGCATGAAAGAACGCAGGGACGGGCGCACAAACAGACGCATGGACGGTCACACAGACGGACGCATGGACGGACGAATGCTTCGCCCCACTCTCCATCATTCACTCCGTGGATATGCTGCCATTTTTGCTAAGCATTCATTGCTTCACCCTTGAGGCGTGAATGCTTGTTTTGTGCAGTCACCCATGTCACAGAGCGCGTCAAGTGATAATAATGATGATGATAAGCAGCTCGCTTGCGCAATCCACGTCGCAAATGACGATACAAAAGACAGCGTGAGAGAAGTTCCGGCGCAATATTGCATTTCGGAGCAGGAAGGCACAGCAGAAGCACTCTGGCGCAGTGTGGCTAAATTGGTGCAACACTTCCACCCCTGCATAGTAACGGTAAGGTACAGTTGTTATATACCCTTCTCTTGAGGGATAGTGGTAATCTACCATTCATGAGCTGAGACCGCTAATCGACTGTCTTCTTTTGCATCGTTATTCTTTCTAGTTATATCACTCTCATGGTTCGGCTCCATAGTTTTTACTTGTCCCATAAGGAAACGTATTCCTTTACTACTTCCAGTGTCTTGCAACCTACCACGAAGCGCTGTTCTCTCCCAAAACTGTTGAACATTACTTTAGCTTTATGCATACCAATTTTCATGCCTACTCCTCTGCATTCCCTGTCCAATTCAGTGATCAAGAGTTGTAATTAGTCCCCCTGAGTTACTCATCAATGCAATGTAACCAGAGAATCACAGGTTACTAATATACACCCTATCAAGTGTTATCCCAAACTCTTCCCAGTCTAAGGCTATGAATACATCCCGTGAACACGCGGTGAATACACCGGAGAGATCACATCTCCCTGCCTTACACCCTTCTTTGTTGGGATTTTGTCGATTTCATTACGAAGGACTATGGTGGCTATGGATCCCCTGTATATTTCTCCAGTACGTTTATGTTTCATCGCACTCTGTTTCCACAGTGCCTGCATGACTGCTAATGTCTGCACATGGGTCGGGCGCAGAGTGCATAGGCAGGTCTAAGTTAAGGTTAACTTACTGGATTTTAAGAGAAGAGACGAGGGGGGGAGACCGACAAGTTAAGTGTGCAGATGAGGTTTTGCGGGTATACGCACACACACATGCACGCACACCAGAAATATACAGTCTTGAAAAAGAGGCTCGCTGCTTGTTTCATGTTGAGTGCTTAGTTGGACAAACTTGTGTCTCGGGGATTATCTGCGCACTTCTAGCTCAATCTAAATCACTTCTAAACAATGGGTTGACGGTTGGTGTTGCATCTATGAAAAATGCCGATCCGATTCCCATAACGTAAAAAGTTAAAACCACGAACTACAATATTCAATGCTCTCGCTACTTTGATGATGCTTTATGGTAACCATCCATTAACAAAGAATACAGTAATCAATACAGGAATATAGTAATCAACTGAATGTCTTTGATGACTTGGAAGAGTATAATAGTGTTGCCTCTCAAACTGAACAAACAAATGTTTGCTTCAATACTTTTTACAGTGCCTATAAGACAGTTCACAGAGTACCAGACTTAGATATACATCTTATGCCAAGAACACTTGGTAGCACAGATTCCACCCAGGAATCTTTCCCTGCAGCATGTCACTAAGCTGGAGTGACCACATTATTCGAGGGATGATGTAGTGATCCAATGAACCTTTGTATGATGACAACCAGGAGCTCTATCCAGTCACTCTAGGCAGAAGCTGATTTGTTTAGCAGGTGAGTGGAAGACCGATCACTACGTCGATTTATTCCAACACATACTCTAAAATGACATGTCGAAGTGCAAGTATACCCCTTGAACTCCGCTTCAGAGAACATGGGCATGGGTGGTGTTAGGAAGGACAAAGATGACTGGTGTAGTGAACTACCTGATGGAGAGTGAAAGTATACCCTATGTTGCTAGTGATACGACTGATGCTACACAAGACACAATGCTGACAGTCGATAATGATAATGTTGACATTGCAGCAGAATGCAACTCACTTGGTATCTGAGACGACCTCCACTTCGACAGGTAATGCGATAGGGGTGTTTGAGTGCCCCGTGGTTGGGTCATCGTTGGCAAGGTCGCCGTTGGTAGAAGAGACGACCTGAACCGAGCCCTGGGGCACACCACCAGCCCCGCCTCCCTGATGCACTAGCTTTTCAGCAAGCAGCGTATTGCCAGCCTGCCGTGGGTTGCTTTGGTCCAACCATGCATTCTTCTGGGGGTTTGACTGCAGGTTCACAGAGGCCGGCATCCATAATGGCATTATCAACACTGACAGACTTGTGCAGCATTTTAATGCTAATTGATTTGCTAAATGAGGGACCGAGACATGATAGGAAGAGAATGTACATGCACACACAAACACAAAGGAAAAATTACAGTCAGTATTTAGAATGCGGTACAGGTGCCAATGAAACTTCTGCAGCCACAGTACAAGCAATCGCACCTAGCCTAGGCACTGACTAATGGGGTGACTCCTGTGGTATTCCAGATGCTACAAGACAGAGAGGGCAAATACCAGATATTATTGCGTAGAGGCCACATCATCAGCCTTGTTAAATGTTTTGTGTCTCTCTTCAGTCTTCCTTTCCGAATTATAGCCAAGGAGATCATAAACATGATACATTAAAATTTTAATGAAATTTGCATACCAGTGTTGCCTTGCCAGTTACCTGTTGCATTTTCCTTCCAAATGCTTGTTTGTGCAATGCATGCTGCTTAGCAATCTGTGTCGCAAGCACAGGGGCACTTAGCACACCAGGTTCTGCCCTTTAAATTTGTTTGTGAGGCAATCTTTGGTTATTTCTACGCCTCCTGCCACATGGGCACCATAACAGGAAACACTATGCTCATGTCTCATGTAAAAGCTATTTTCTCCCCTTCGTTAAGCAACCTTTATCCCAGCACAATGTCCACAATCAGTGTTTTAGCCATTTGCTAATGCTGTTTGATGCGGTTGCATACTTTTGTTCAGGAAATTTTGCACGTCACGTAATAACAAGTGAAGCTAAAGTGAAGCCATGGTTCTTACCTATTGCAACTGAAAAGCACGTCTACTTTTCAAAACTGATGCCCATTTGTTAAAAAGGAAACTTAAGTATGACCCTTAGACATGAATGCACACAAGATAGAAAAAAGTAGTGAATGATTGTGCTTTAAGTGCTAAAACAATATGATCATGATGCTCATTATTCGGGGACTACGGATCAATTTTACTTTAAACATCTAAGGTTCTTGCACATCGTCCTACTGAAATTGACATACAATAGATTTCGTAACAGTCTTCTGGGGCAGCTTGACTAGCAGTCAAAATTCTTACTTCATGTAAGACACCTCTACAGGTGCCACTAATTACTTGCAATACTTTAAAACAGTACGCCACTTTGCTGTACAATACTGCCCTAAACATGCTATAAAAAACATGGAGGCTTTAGGCTCAGTTCAAGTTACAAGACAAGCTCAGGTCAGCTTGATAACAGAGGCAAGCTAATCAAAGATGAGAGAAGGCTATTGGCCCCTACAAACAACGAAGTTAAGCCTAAATTAGAATTAAAAAAAAGGAAAACAAGCAGTTGCTGCTAAAGGTCAAAACAAAAGCTCCCTGAGCAATAGGTGAATACCTGTCCTCACATTTGCAAAACCACTGTTTTCCTCCTTACCAGGAATACTACTACTATGATAAATATACATGTAAACAAACAAGTTTTTACGTAGTCTAACCCAAGGAAATAGCAGCCTGAAGCAAGGTTTGTCGTTCTCAGCAGTTCAATTGTGGAGACAGAAACAAGGCAATATCATACTTGACACAGGGTAAATTTTCCACAGGTGAATATCATGTCTACAGTTAACAAGTAGTTGAATCGAGCTTTGGATCAGTGCCAGATAGTTGCACATTGTGCACCAAATACAATATTAATTGCCTAATAACACTGTTTATTCAGGCCCTTTTACTCCCTGAAGATATACAAGAATATTTATACTTACAAAACACATTATGTTTTGAAATGATTATTAGCATCACTAATTTGCTGCAAAACTCCCATAAGGAAATTGCAAACCACGAAACTGGGTAAAATGCCAAAAAGTGTGTGTGCCACATGACATGAGCTTGCACGATGCTCGTGAATTAGGTCATGCTGAGAGAAGATGGATGTAGGCAAACAAACACAACCACCCATATTGGTGCAAGAACATGCAGCAGTATCACAATTTGTACAGATAACTAGGTTACTATCTGAAAAGCCCAAACAGAGCCATTTAATTAGCAAAAACAATACCAAGTGCTGTCACTGCAACATGCAAGGTCGAACAGAACCTCACAGAAATAACCAGATGCTGCGATGGTCATATCCACTTGTACCACTGCCCGAAACAGTGCCATGCAGAGCCAAGGAAAGGTTGAAAAAAGAAGAGGGACCGGCCAAGGAACAGAGAGAGGGGGCCAAGCAAGAGGGACTAAAGGGTATCGCATGCTTGGCTGCCTTACCCGGGCATTTGTAGTAATGTGCCTTTCCCTGTTTGGGGAAACGATGACCTCCTGTCCAGTCTGGAGGGACCCCACGGGGGTTGACTGAAACGGCAGCAAGGGAGGGAGAAAGAGAAGGGGGCAGAGAAGGAAAGGGTGGAGGGAACATCTTTATGAGGTTCCCCGCAGGAACACATACACTTGCTACACTAAACAGCACCAGGCCAGAGACTGCAAAGAACACTGCTGTGCAGACACACAACAGCAGTTGCTTGACTTGGGCAAGTTCACGAGTAGCCCTAAAGCCTGCTATTGTGCATAGTTGCTACATCAGCCTCGGCAAGCATGCTCTCTTGCAAAGGTGGCATGGAGTTCCCTACAAGCAAGCACAGATTCTAGAAATAACATAGAAGAATACGAGCAGCAGAACACGCCGCAGAACTTGGTGTGTGTAGGTCGACATGCCTTTTCTGAAAGCTCAATCAAGTCACATCATACAACTATGGACGTCTTGGCACAGAGCGGCTTTTTAGAACGCTGACCTATTTGGAAATGCACTAAGATATGCTAACACTACCACAATATCGCATAAATCCCAAAAGCGAAATTGAACTCTAACAAGCCACAAGTCAAATGCGTTCATTTTTGGGCTGGCTAGACCTGCCAAATGTAACTTTTCATTTAGAATCATTGACCACTTTGCTGAGCATGCTAGGCACACTTCAATAAAATTCTGGTGCTAATTTGTCAGCCAATGTTGATATCTCTGAAAGAAAAAGACATCTATGCCAAAACTTGCACCTGCACAGTGTGCAGCTGACAAAAGCAGTGAGGACTACATCAGCTACCTCAGCATACAAATACTCAATATGAACCTGAAAAGCGCATTAGAACAGCCGAGAGGAATTGAGACGAACGTTCATTCAAGTCATGTATCCCTCCTACATGGATAACTTAGCGAATGGTCTGCCAAACAAGAAATCTTCAAATGCTGCTACCACTGTCGTAGAACACTTCTATTCCACAAAGATCTGTTACAAGCTTCAGTATATATTTCGATTAAAACAGTGTTTTAAATGGCATCGCACAGAAAGGCCAAATAATTCATGTTTGAAGCAAGGTGCACATAATTAAACAAAGCAAGGACTGATTCTGTGACACCAAACACACAAGCCATTCCGGATGAACATCACAGGCTTTGTGTAGGTCAGTGAGAAGGGCATTAGCATTATCACTGTTAATTTATGAAAGAGTACACACCTGCTTACGAAGTTTTAGAAATTATAACACACACTCTTTATACATAAAACTATTGCATTAGAATGCCCAACTGTTGTGCAAATGATACTGTTATCAGTAAAGTTGCCTAGAAATGTCAGAACAGGCTGGCATCAATGTTATAATAATGTCATTATGCCCAGCAAAATCTTCTGACATTGTGTAGCCATAAGGCTAGGTAGGTATGGTGGTGCCACATAAAGGAGTACTGACCCTATTTTGAGACTTCCAGAAGAGACACTTTTCATTTCTTTAGTATACAGTGTTAACGCTTTTCACACACCGGAGTCAGCCAACACGTATACAATATTTTACTTCAGCTTTTAAAGTTTTCATCTCTCAGCATCTGCGAGGCAGCCCCACTGCAATAGACATTATCCCAACAAGCCAATACAGTTCTGCCGAGCTTGGGAATTCTGCATCCACCACGAATCAGAGCAATTCCTGTCGGGGTCGCTGGAGACAATACACTAATCGTTCTTTACGTGTACCACAAGCAGATGGCTGATCTGTGACTAATACGTCACAAATTGATGTCTCTCCATGACGTCGCACTCTCATGACACATCATTGAGAAGCCACTCCCTTGATATTGAAACCGAAAGTGTCTAAGATAGCAGTATTAAAATATATACAATGCATTCCAAGTTACCACAGTACTCTGTTTAACGTTTTTGAAACTAGTGTAATGTAACAATCCCAAAACATTTAAAATTCATGTCCTAGTGCTGAAACAAACTACTGTATTTGCTTGAATATTATGTGCACCTAATTTTCACAAGTTTAAAATGAAGATGTGCCTGAATATAACGATACCAAAATTTTCAAAAGAAACAACATACTGAAGACAAGAAGAAAGAGAGAAAAAAAGAGACAAGCACAATTTCAGATGATAAAATTTTAGATTTATTCTGCTGGCATTTCTTTATCTTTGGTGATTCATGTTACATTCGATGCACAGTTGGCCTCCATGGTGCAGCATGGAAACCACATACATATAGGAGGTCACGTATTTTATGACGTCATGTATTCACAACTACTTACTGCCTTGGGTCAGGCAGCTGGGCATTATGGAGACAAGATCATGTGATCTAATGTGTCACGTGACCCTTTCCGAATCATGGCCAAATATGCTCTCCTACACACACCTGCCACAAAATGTGCTCCATCGCTATTTTGTGATGGCAATGGCACTGGATCTGCAGTTTTGACAATAGCATACCTGCTGAGTTTAGGATTCTGAATCTGGGAAATTTCTGCAAAGGGAAGGGGGCGGGGGTTGTGCCAATTTATTTGCCCCCTTTTTTCGCATCAAAAGAAAACAAAGAAAATCACAGAAAATTGGGGGGGTCCCAACAATCCTGCAAGCGTAAACATCAGCGTTGAAGTTTTATAATGGCTTGGAGTGACCAAACACATGACGGTATGTTTCCTAAATAAGGTGAGAATCTGAACGGAAGAGCGCTCATACACACAAAATTTCACACCACCAAAACAACTAGCTGAATCTATTTCTGCCATAAAATCTCACATATGTCTTCCTGGGACACCAATGATTGGACGGGACAGCGCAGCTAGCTGCCGCAAAAGCGAGGGTCAAGGCTTTGCTACGCTACTACATTCTTGGGACAGGAACGCCGAAAAGCTTTTAGCCTTTTTTACGTCTTTATCGTCTTCTGACTTTAATCTACAGCTGTGTCAGCAGGCTGGCGCTTGGGGCTCGTAGACCCCTATCGCGTCGCCGCGACAGGGGTGTGTGTGTGTGTGTGTGTGTGCGTGTGTGTGCGTGTGCGCGCGTGTGTGTGATTTCGTGTGTGATGGTTGTGGCAAACGACGGCAGTTGCGGCAAACAGCAGTTCCGTTTTCAATCCGCATGCACCGACGTGCGTACATGCCTTTAGAACCAAGCCGATTATTAATATCTATGAACGCATGAATCGCGATCTTGTCCACAGCGTTTGCAGGAAGCAACATCGCTTTGACTGGTCGAGCGTTGGACGCGCACACTTTTGGAGTTTATCAGTTACATCATCGCCATATATGATCGAGTTAAGAGTGACCACTGTTTCATCCACAGCAGTTGTGGCAAACACCAAGCATAGACACTGTTAAAGACGGTGCGTACATTGGCCGCACGTCTCCTCTTGAAGCTTCTAGGCACGCTGCTCTTGGCATTCATTCCCCAGTTTAGGTACTAAAGTTCATATTACCCCTCACTATGAAGAGAAGTGTTTGAAACATCCGAATTAGTGCCCAATGGATACAGTACATGGTATTTGGCAGGAAAATTTCACTAATTCGTATCTGCCAGTTTCATATCACTGAGCTTCTACTGTACGTTTAGATGAACGCCACATATATTTCTTTACAAAATGTGATAGGTTCCCAAAAAGCCAGCGTGGAATAGGCCTGCGTTTCTGTCAATGCGGTCAGATCACGCACAAAATTTAATTTTCGGAAGATTATCATGACTACCATACAAACATAAGATAAATTCGAAATCCGGGAGTCTCCTGGAAAATCCGGAGAAAATCGGTTGGCTGCTGCCACAGCTACACAGCTACTGTGAACGCGGTTTTCGATTTGCAGTCGAGTGTAAAGTGCAAGCAATTGTGAAGTAATTTTTAGAACGTGCTAAATTCAAATAAATTTATAAGTTAGTAGAAACAAGCATTATATTATAGTAAATTAATTACAGGGCACTGCTTTCATTTCATTTAGAGGGCTGCTCAGTCACATCCGTTAATTTTTTAACATTAAAAGGAAACACATACATGTTGATAGCACTGCCACGGTCAACAATGTTTAACAAAGCAGCGCTGTGAGTCATGCACACGTCACAAATGCCAAGAAACGATTCCTGCGCTTCTTTGCGCCTTCTGGCATTTCTAATCCTCTGAACTTTGCCGTGACGACAACAGCTTATCATTCACAATATCCGCTTCTCCCTCACACGTATGTACGCACGCTGCTATTTCTCCTCGCACGATGAGAAGAGGGCAGTTAGCCAGGAGGAGAGACAAGCATATGAACGGAGCAAAGCAAAAGAAATATTGAATGAGCTGAAAGCATCTTTTGTAACACCAGACGTGTGTTAACTCAGCTATTACGGAACAGTTTTGCAAAATTCTCATGGCTGCATCTTTGTTGTAGACTTGTGCACAATTGCGACACCTCAGTAATAAAGGTTTTAAAATAAAAAAAAAATGATAGTGGCGGTTGTGGTGAAGGAGGAGGTGGCAGCTTTGCAGGTAACTGGCTTCATCTGTTATGACACTGCTGTTCAACAGTACAACATTCACATTTGTTGTCGAGCTTTTGCAGCACAGAAGCACAAAACATGGACCCAAACATCCCTACAATAAGCCAAAGCGTACAAGACTAAATACATTCAATGCTTTGCGACTAAACAGTGATGAAAGATCAAATATGCTTACTGTACTCAGTAACGAAGACTGCAGGATTGGCGATAAGAGCTTTGGAAACAACAATAGAGAGCATGGCAAAAATGACGTTTCCACCTTACAAAACGTACTTTTTGAGCAATGCCGCTTTCATCCGCCTTTTTGTTCCACACAACATGGTTCCCATTAAATTCTAGGCTACGTAAGCATCAAACCAGTGGAGCAACAACTGCTAACATGACTGCTTTATAGGGTAGCCCAAGTTAAATAAAGCCGTGGCAGCAAAATAGCAGAGAAAGGGCTATGTACTGGACGTGACAGAAGGAAACACAAAAGTGATTTTTAGAGAGTGTGAAGTCTTTTCTACATCTCCTCCTGATAAAGCGACAAAATCACATAGGCTGAAAGTCCTACTGTAGATGTCCAAGTGGAACTGAAATTTAGGTTGTCAAACATTATTACAAAGTGCTCAACATGAACAAAGAGTGATTCTATAAATAATTTTAAAAATAATGAAATCCACTTAGTAACAATACCCAATACTGCAGTTTTCCAGACTCATTATTTAGTGCAATGGGCTGTTTGTTATGTAGGTCCAATTGAAAAGTACCTTATATTTAATTGGCTTTTGGCATAATTTAACTTATATATGGGTCTGAAAAATGACTATTTGCAACCCCATTTATTACTGGTTACTGCAGTAAACCACAATACCAAACAAAAGCACCACATGAGGAAGTTTACATATACAGTTAATTCTACATAAACTGAGATAAGGGGTGGGAGTGGGAGGTTGTGATCAATTTGTGTATGGTTGCCCTTACAGATTAAGACGTTTTCCCTTTAGATAGGATATTTAGTGCTGTCTCCAGCTTAATAATCTTCAGCTCTACTTTAACATAGACTCAGTTTATATATTCAATAGTTTTTTGCCTTTTGTGGCTGCCATAATGTATCTTACTCAATAATAATAATAATAATAATAATAATAATAATAGTAATAATAACAATAACTGACGTGCTCAATGTCCTGAAACCACAACACGATTGACAGACGCAGCAGAGGAGAGCTCTGAAGATTCTGGCCGCCTGAAGTTCTTTAACATGCACCTAATTACTTACATGATGCAACAAGAAGTAGAGCAGGAGGTGTTTTGTACAAAAAAAAAAATAATGTAGTATTACTGTTATTATTAACAGGAGCACTATATTGATTTAAGCAGAAGTTTTCTTCAGCCCATAAGATTCCAAAATGAACATCTATATTGTTTACATAGCCTAGGATTCATGTTTAACAAATCTTACATTAAATAAGAAAAAAGATTGTAAAAGACTATGCCTGGCACATTTGCAAATGAAAGAAAAATATGTAACAAAGCGTGAAAGGTAGTGAAACTGGCATTTAAATTGCACAAACCTGCCATCTACCCATTTAGCACAAACATAACAACTGAGCTCCCAGGAATCTTGGCCTGACATGAGCAATGATGCAATCAACAAAATGAACTTTTTCACTTGAAAACCTATTACACAAGCAAAATAACTATGAGCTTGCACAATGGGATTCCCTATCATTGCTACACATCTGCAACGCTACAGCAGTGGACCGAGGCCACTAAGTGACAGCAAGCTTTACAGTATGAATGCCCCTCAAGAAGCTCAAGCCGATTGCGCTAGTCCAGCAGAAGCCCCGAGTAACAAACCTGGCTTGAGTTTTCCTCGTCGGAGGGCAGCGCATTCCTCAGCGCCCTCAGCTGCATAAAGTTTTCCGGCTGAGTCATGTATCGTGGCATACGAGGGCAGAAGAGAGGGAAAAGACAGCCATGCAATGGTAGTAGTCAGCACGCAAGAATCACGCAGCACTGATAAGCAAAATGGCGACCTTCTTCATTTTACTAGGGCGACCTACCTTGGTGGCACAACTGGTCGGCCGTTTGAAAGACCCAAGAAAAACAGGAGGTACCCAGCGACTGCCGGACTACAATTCTCTTATCAAGCAGGGTGCGCTGTTGCGAATGAATGCGAAACTAAATCCTCATAACATTTTTTTAACTGCCACAGTTTTCCGAATCGTACTTTTCACTAAAAACTTGGATAACACCAATACAACACAAGTATGGATGAAACTGCAGTACTGCAGCTCGCTGAAAATTTCAAATGGGCATTATACCCTCATTCGTGCATGTATTATCCTATCACCACAGCCTGCTATGAGGACAATCATTTCAAAACTCTGCTTATGACAGGCCACACTTACGAAACTATCATACACATTTAATTACGAGTTATGGAGTGAATACATGTAAATATGAAAATGTAACTCAATTTGAAAATCAGAAAGCAGAAATTATTTCTTTATCTTGTTTGCAACTCAAACCAATACATCATGATGTACACACATAGATAAACGCAATGAGTAAGCCACAAGAACTGCATTACCGCACAATGATCCCACCTCAAAATTTCGTCATTGAGGTTGACTTTTTTTTTTCACGTGTACTAATAGTATTTCAAATAAACTTTTGCCCAGAGCAGTGACGGTGGTGACAACACCACATGTACACCTTCTTGTGATGTGCCCCATACTTTGACCTTGCATTACGCAAATTTCAATTTTATTATGCAAATTACAATTCTGCGTTAAATGCAACTGAGTATGTGGTCGAGAACAGCAACCTTACTGTTCGCAGGCACAAACTGAACGCTGTCCCACACCAGTGCCATTAGATGCGGCATATCTTAAAATAGGGCATGGTATTTCGTAGTGCATGGTCTAGCACCTACATAAAATGCGAAATGCGTAATACAGTCGAAACCCTTTACAGAAGACACTGACACAAGAGACAAATGACAAATGGGTATAAGAGACACCATTGTATGTACAGTGAAATACGGGTTGATAAGAAAATGCATACGAGGTACCCTGCTTATAAGAGACATCTCATATAAAGGACAGGAACTGCTGCCTGGAGCTTGCCTCTTATAAAAGGGTTCAACTGTATCTATGTAGCTAAGGCTACATAGATATTACATGCTACATATTACATAGATATTACCACTAAAAAACATGGAGCTTTTTTTTGTTGTTGCTAAAATGGCCACACGGTAGAATATCGTATGACACATTCCACTTTACCAGCTCAGCCCATAGGCCAGCTCATCTGACCCTTGTGGTAAGTGTGTCCTCTGTACAGTGCTTTGTTCTTTGGCTTTCATATGTAGCAACCATGTGCAAAAAGAGGCGATTAAAAAAAACGAAAGTTTGAGCTTTCCAATGATTTAGCGATGGTGGCAGGAAAGGTGACACAGCTCTGTAAACTTGGTAGTTTCTGCACAATTGTGTCTTTTTGCCCTACATAAGAAGCCATCTGACAGAGTGCATTTTCCACTAAATCCCTTTTATATAAAGTAAAAGCTCCTTAATTTGACTATCTTTAATTAGAAAAACAGACAATTCAGACGTGTTCCCTTGTACTGGCCAGAATAAGCATTGCTTTATGGCGTCAATCCCTCAGTGATTCAGTCACATACGGCCGCAACCCGATTTTGGGGAGAAATGCTAGTTAGTTGAAAATTGCATGATCGTTCCATGAAATTACAAAATGATATGCCTCCAGTGCACTTAATTCTGTAACCAATATTTTTTTTATGTATCCCTCATATTACCTAAAAGCCCACCACTAAGTTCTTCTGTATAAAGCAATGTATCTTTTACATTTCAATGTCCTAACCACAGCAAACCTAAATAAAGCAGAGCATTGTAAAATTTTGCAGGGACTCTACAGGTAAATTAAACACTAATGATAAAATAAAACACATTACACTACTGATACTAGTAGAAACTTATTAACAAAAGAGAAGGTAACAGACAATTGTTAAGAATGCTGTAGCATTTTGCCAAATGTTGAAGTGCAAATAACACTGAAACACAGAATTCAGTAAACACAATTAGATAATAATCGCAATTCACTCACCATCTGTTTCCCCGTCCAGTCGAACTCTCCATCATCAACATAGCCCTTGCGCTCGAACAAGTCATGAAACATTTTCCTCAGGTAGTCATAGTCTGGAGTCTCAAAAAAGTCTAGCCGCCTAACGTACCTCAAGTATGTGGCCATTTCTGAAGAAAGATAAAGCAGGTGAAACGGGGTTTATTGGCGTAATCTTCTTCCTTTCTACACAGGAAAAAAATATTCATATGGTAAACAACAGAGCTAGGAGCAAATGTCATTCAAGTGCACAAAACTGTTACAGGCTCAGGATGACAAAAGACTACAAGTTAAAGGGCCCTTAAACCACCAAGCGGTTGAAATTTAGTTGTGGTATTGCAGTAGTGGACAATCATAAAATGAACATGTAGCAGTGTGAATTTTCCACAACAAAAGCGGTGTTACAAACGACTGATGATACAAAAGACACCTTCCCTCGTTTAGCTCTTTCCTTCGCTATGTTCTGTTGATAACCTCGTCTGTGCTCCCGGCCAAGTGTTCTTCCTCACTGTTCAAGAGAAAGAGCCGCGAGCGCAAAAACCTGCAAGCGGATCAACACGTATTGTGGATGACGAGCAGATGTGTTGGTGTCACGGCTGAGAAGATGACTGCTGAGAGATACAGAGAAAAGAAGAGGTGTTTTCTTGAAATTTGTGGGGTGCTCGCAGCTCGTAGCAGCGGGCCTTGAGGTTCTGCTGCATTTGGCATTGTTGATCATGACGACATTCTTCCAACTCAATGCACGCATTTACTTGAAACATTAAAAAATTATCGGAGGTGGTTTGGGGGTCATTTAAAGTGATAGTGTGGATAGGCTTGTTTTACAGTGGTCCAAAGCTACCATAGCCATGCAATGTAGAGTCAGTGTCAAGTTACATTGTAGGTGCACATCAATGGCCTTAATATGGATAATGCAATGTAAGTTTCATTTGTGCATCGAAGTGCCAATGTGCTGCATCACAATGCCTGCAGATATTACCATATGTCAAAGTATACCTAACACCAGTATGTGCTGCACTGGTACCATGTTAAAGCCAGTTCTTACAAAATCACAATAATGTGCTGAAATGATGTCATGACTGAAAACTTTTACAGGTTATGCACTGTTCTAGACATCAGTTTGACAATGGCATGAAAACTGATTGAATGCTGTTTTGGGGGCAAAAGCAAGGAAGATAAAAACAGGGGTTGGTGGCATCTTTTTAAAGAAAAATGTATCAATGAATCAGATCTGAACCAACACATACTTTAAGCCCCTCACATCACCGAATAAAGAGAGACCCTTCTGGTAACGAAAGACGGTAAGAGAAGCTTGGTGTTGACCTTGGTGGTCGTCCCCTCGTTCGTGTTTATGCCGCCAATGAACTTTTTGCTAAGCTACATAAGGCTTCTGCCTTAAAAAAACATGAAAAGGCAAAGGACTCACTCACCAGGGTAACCGTCACATAGCACCTCAATGGGAGTGGCTCTTTTTGTGTCGCCAATCTTCTGGTAACGTTCTTTGAGGGTGTCTGCCTTGAGCCCTTGCCATGGAAGGCTGCCTCTTAGGAAATACATGAACATATGCCCCAATGCCTCCAAGTCATCCCTTCTGCTTTGCTCTACAAGTAGAGGAAGATGCCAATGAACACTTGGCTCCCAAATAGAAACATCAAATTTAGCATTTCCATCTGTACAAATGGGAGGGCAGAAACTCTCACTACAAAATATGGTCTGCACAGGGAAACAGCACGATAGAAAGCTTTGCAATGGACATTGCCACGATCACAGCTCGGCATACTCACTCATGAATACACTTACTCACACTCATTCATACTCATTTGAACATGGTGAGTGTATGAGTGAGTACTGATCAGTATGAGTGAGTATGAGCGAGTAGAACGTGAGTGAGTACTCATGAGTATAAGTAAGAGTGAGTATAGACGTGAATGAGTACTTTCAGTGTGAGTAGAAGTGAGTATGAACGTAAGTGGGTGCTCATGAGTGTGAGTAGGAGTGAGTATGAACGTGAATGGGTATTCTGAGTGTTAATAGGAGTGAGTATGAACATGAGTGACAACTCTGAGTGTGAGTATAAGTGAGTATGAATGTGAGTGAGTACTCAGAGCGTGAGTAGAATTGAGTATGAACGTGAGTGAGTATTGTGAGTGTGAGTAAGAGTGAGTATGAACATGAGTGAGTACTCATGAGTGTGAGTAGATGTGAATTTGAACGTGAGTGAGTACTCATCAGTGTGAGTATCCGTGAGTGAGTATTCATCAGTGTGAGTAGGAATGAGTGAGAGCTTGTGAGTGTGAGTAGGAGTGAGTATGAACGTGACTGAGTACTCTGAGTGTGAGAAGGAGAGAGTATGAACGTGAGTGAGTACTCATGAGTGTGAGTAGGAGTTTGAATATGAGTGAGTATGAACGTGAGTGAGTACTCTGAGCGTGAGAAGGAGAGAGTATGAACGTGAGTACTCATGAGTGTGAGTAGGAGTTTGAACATGAGTGAGTACTGATGAGTGTGAGTATTCGTTAGTATGAACGAGAGTGAGTATTCATGAGTGCGATTAGGAGTGAGTGAGAGCTCATGAATGTGAGTAGGAGTAAGTACGAACGTGGGTGAGTACTCATAAGTGTGAGTAGACTTGACAGTGAAGGTGAGTGAGTTGCGGTGAGTGTGAGTAGCAACGAGTAGGAACATGAGTGAGTTACTATGAGTGTGATAAATATTTGTAACCATCGCAACGGCGTCCTAAATACGTTGGAAATAACGGGCACTATGGCATGCAAGCTTCATGTGCGTAAAAGCCTTCAGTTAGTTTGGAAACTGGGGGAGCCATCCTATATCAGATAGGGGGGGTGGGGGGGGGGGGGGGCGAGGTGACTGTGCAAAACTCGAGTTGAGGGTAGCCACCCATTTTATTGTAATTTGAATTTTCTAGGCTGAATAACTTTGAACTGCCTGTCCCTATAGCTACCGTTCTTGCTGCCCTTACCTCTTGCGCTTCAGTCTACGCAACACGCTGATCATATATGTAAAACAACAAGGTCTTGAGAAGCCCTTTAACGAAAATCGCCGCGCGAACCGGTTCAGAAAAAAGAAATGCACTGCGCAAGCGACAAAAAAAAAAAAAAAGTGCTGAAATGGCTCTCGAGAGAAAGCACATTGTGTGCGCTACGCACATTGTGTGCAGCGATCTTGCAGTTTCTATCTCTGCGTTGTCCCTCAGGTGAAGGTTGCCTTGAACGAAAACCTTAAGTGATCTCATGACCTCTCAAGCGCGAAGCTGTGTGCAAACTTCGCCTTCTCAGTGCCCCATTAAGAAAAAACAAAAAAGGAAAGCTTGGAGGACGGTTGAGCTTCGCCGTCAATAGTATAGTATGCGATAGCGTAATCGGACCCTGTTCGCATAGCCGTTTCAATCTCTACCCTCGCTTCACTTTTCCGCGGCTTATTATGCCTTCAACAGTGCAGACACAACGTGCAATAAGCGCCCAATCACCCTTGATAATTTATTCTATCATTCACATAACGCGGGCTAGTACAAAAACACACATAACGCAACTCGTTAATTACCGTTTCATTCGACTGTCCACAATAACTCTGCGTACACACACTGCCAATGAACGTTAACCGCGTCCGCAGATCCATAAATAAGGCCCCCTGCAATCGTCAGTGCCGGCACGGAGCTAAGTCTCTGCGTGAGCGCGACCCACAGAGAGGGAAAACATCTCCAAAGATGCGCACAATTTCTCGAATGCAAAACTGCCGTACGCAACGCATTCCATCTGAAGACGAGGCAGAGAGGGGAGGCGCCGCCTCGACGGTTGCGCCGGGCCACAGAACACCTACCAGTGGTCGGGCGACCGGGCTGGCCGCGGCGCCGAGGCCCCGGCACCCGCCTGTCCCGCTAGTGCAGTCAGAAGGGGCTACGGGCACTGGAACGAACGAAGCGGCCGAGCCGGATGGCATGGCAACATCTTAGTAATCATAGCGGCGGCCGTGTAGTCGAGAGCTGTCGAGAGCGTCTCTATTTCGCACGCGTGCGTCGTAGCCTACGAAAGCGCGTTTTGAGTGCTTGTAACACATTACTGAGATTCTAAACGATGTCTCAGCGTCTCCTACGCATCATGGCACACAAATGAATGTGCAGGTGCGTCATAATTGCACTGAGTCATTGCCTGTTTGTGAAGCTCTACTGTTTCTTGAGTAACCTGAGTACACGTAATGCAACCTCAATTTTAATATTCATCATCGGCCTGCCAACGTCCACTGCAGGACAAAAGGCCTCTTTCATGATCCGCCACTCAACTCGGTCCTGTGCTTGCTGCTGCCATTATGTACCCGCGAACTTCCTAATCTCATCTGCCCACCTAACTTACTGTCTCCCTATAACGCGTTTGCTTTCTCTGGAAATCCGGTCAGTTATATTTAATGACCAGCTGTTATCCTGCCTACGCGCTACATGCCCGGCCCATGTCCATTTCTTCTTCTTGATTTCAACTGTGATATCCTTAACCCCGGTTTGTTCCCAGATCCACTATGCTCTCTTCTTGACTCTTAAGGTTACAACTACTATTTTCCTTTCCACCGCTCTCTGCGTCGCCCTCAATTTAAGCTGAACCCTTTTTGTAAGCCTTCAGGTTTCTGCTCGGCAGGCAAGTATCGGCAAGATGCAGCTGTTATATACCTTCGTCTTGAGGAGATAGTGACAATCTACCAGCCATGAGCTGAGAATGGTTGCCGAATCTTCTCCACCCCACTCTTATTCTTCTAGGTACTTCAGTCTCGTGGCTCGGCTCCAAAGGTACTACCTGTACTAAGTAGACGTATATACCTTATCCAAATTAAAGTGCACTGCCATTTATTTCGAAGGGCTGTTTTCTTTCGAGGTTGTTGTTCATTACTTTTGTTTTCTGCCGGTTATTTTGTAGATTCCAAGAGAAGGAAAGCGGGAAAAGGGAAGACAAAGTTTGGTGGGCAGAGGAGATTAGGAAGTTTGCGGGTATGAAGTGGCAACAGCAAGCAAAGGACCGAGTTGACTTGCGGAACAGGGGAGAGGCCTTTGTCCTGCTGTGATGATGATGAGTATGTGAATGTAAAAGTACGTGGGTGAGTGCGCCTGAGTATGGGTAGGCGTAAGTATGAAGGTGAATTCTTATGTGAGTGTGGAGGTGAGTGAGGGCGTATGATCTTGAGCAGGTGTGAGTATGAAGGTGAGTGAGTAACTATGAGTCTTAATTGAGGTGCACGAAAAATTGAAGTACAAAAAGGAGACACCTGGACACGGCGCGCTGTCTCGAGGTGTCTTCCTTTTGTACTTCAATTTTTCGCCCACCTCAGTTAATATAAATTACCAACTCGCCCAGCAGTCCGTGTTTCTATAAGAGTGTGAGTAGTCGTGAGTATGAACGTAAGCCATGAACAATGAGTGTGAGTAGGCGTGAGTATGAACGTGAGTGAGTACTTATCAGTGTGAGTAGTCGTGAGTATGAACGTGAGTGAGGGCCTATGAGTGCTAGCTGGCGTGAGTGTGAACGTGAGTGAGTACTCACAAATGTGAGTAGTCGTGAGTATAAAATGACCGAGTACTCATCAGTGTGAGTAGTCGTGAGTATGAACGTGAGTGAGGGCCTAGAGTGTGAGTTGGCGTGAGTTTGAACGTGAGTGAGTACTCATGAGTATGAGTATGAACATGAATTAGTACTTTGAGTGTGAGTAGAAGTGAGTCTGAACGTGAGTGAGTGCTCATGAGTGTGAGTAGGAGTGAGTATGAACGTGAGTGAGTACTCTTAGTGTGACAAGGAGTGAGTATGAACGTGAGTACTTTGAGTGTGAGAAGGAGTATGAAGGTGAGTGAGTGTGAGTAGGCATGAGTATGAACGTGAGTAAGTACATTGAGTGTGAGAAGGAGTTAGTATGAACGTTAGTGAGTGCTCATGAGTGCGAGTAGGCGTGAGTATGAAGTGAGTGAGGGCCTATCAGTGGGAGTAGACGTGAGTATGAACGTGAGTGAGGGTGAAGGCTGAAAAAATTGTAGTGAGTGAGTATGAGTGAGTAGTCTCTCAAAGTGCCGACCTATGGCCACGATACATTTAGTCAAGTTTTGTTATCCCCCAGTTACACTTCTCAACGCAAACCGCGCATTCAGTGTTCGAGAAGCTTCAGAACAGTAGCAGATCATTTCGTTAAGATCACACCCACTCCGCGAACATTACATATTATTTTGGAACCTATGTCCCCGCTAGCGATAACACTAGAACATTCGATGGCAAGTGTATAAATGCTGACGTGCTTCGCCACTTGATCGACGGTCATACTACCTTGTCAGCGTCTCAAGCGCCTTTTCTTTAATTGTAGCTTCCGCGAGGAACTAGGCAACCGTCGTAGGTGGGTTGCGGACAAGTCTTGCGAAGAGTTCTTATTTAACAACCCGCATAAGCAGCCGAACTTATTTGTCTTCGGCCATATCAGCATCGGCAAGGCAGATTAGTGGGGTCATCTCTTCTGCGAAGATGGCGACTTTTTGATTTGGGAGTTGCACCCAAGTTTCCAGCAAGGAAGCGGCCCTCTCCTTGCGGACGATACCCACGAAGGTGTGCAAGAATGCGCTGCGGAAATTGTCCCAGGTTTGCAGTGCAGACTCTCGGTTTTCAGATCATGTTTTCGCCAATTCTTCCAAGTAAAAGTAGGCATGTCACAGCTTGTCCTCGGCACTCCAGTTGTTAAACGCAGCGACACGATCATATATTTTGAGCCAATTTTCCGGGTTTTCGAGGGATGTATCGCGGATAGCTGGTGGCTCGTTGGGTTGCTGGGGCAAAATCGGTGCAGCTTGCACAGAAGCTGTCATTGTTGCAGTGTCTGAGGTCGGGGTTGTGGTTCACCGAGTCCTTACTGGTAGAGGCCCGTACTCTGGCAGCAGACCCAGTTGCAGGCGACTTGTCCATTGTTCGGGGTTGCCGTCGATGACCCCTTTCTGGCTTCGGCTGGGTTTACGGCTTGACGGGGGCGTCCGGTACATGAAAAAGGCAGTACCTCCATCAGATGTCACGACGTCGTGACGTTGATGAAGGGAGCAGACTTTAGGTCAAAAATGAAACTGTTTATTCGGGTTGAACTTATGGCCGCGCAAAAGGAAAGTCGCATCAGATTACAGCAGGACACAGGCACTGATAGCGGCGAACAGAGCATTGGCTGTTTATCAACAGACAAGCGGCGAAGCGCGGCGGCATTTATACACTTGCTAACAAATGTTCTAGCGTTATCGCTAGCGATGATGTAGATTCCAGGATAATCTGTAATGTTCACGGAGTGGGCGTGATCTTAACGAAACTATTTAGTATTGTCCTGAAGCTATCTGTTACTATCTGTTGAACGCAGCAGGTACCATATCTGCCATTTTGATGCTGGCGAGGCTTGACCACTACGCGTGGGCGACCCACATGCGAACGTACGCGTTTCGACGCTTCGACTGTCGCAGTCTGATTTTTTTTGCTGGCGAAATGCAAGTACACTGCTGTGTGCCACTGTGTAAGCAGCGCGGAGTCACAGACAGCGATGGGAGCAACATATGTGGCGTGAATTACGATTTTGCATCGATCATTTAAACGCAAAACAGGGCCTGGCGTGCAAAAAGTTTATGGGCACATTCTAGAATGCATTAATCTCCGCGGTGCGCGGGCTGCACGGGAGCAATGCAGGACTAACCATTTTTCTGTGTTACACAGACAGGCTGTCTTTTTATAGGTTTGTCAGCTGTGCGGCTAGGTGTTTTTACTACGTCGGGCCTGTACACGACAGTGGTGCTCTTCGATTTACCGTCTCGGACTCACCGTGGACTCGCTGAGAAGCTGTGAGGCTATGACTTCGGGGAAGCCTCGGACTTCCCGTGGACTATGCGCGGTGAGTCTGAGATGGTAAATCGAAGAGCACCGGTGATTCCCTGCAGTCAAATGGAGAGTCCACCATTGCTGTTCTGGTAACTAGTGTGACAGAACCGAACTGTTAGGACGGGCTGTTTTGTAATGAGATTACAACATGTAGGTAGACGACTTAGAAATGTTATTTTTTATGGTGATTACGCACAGAGACGTGCAGAGCTTCCACTACTCCGAGTAACATGCTGTACACGCATCCTAGAAAGGCAGCTCGGTTGCTTGTCCGCGTTTAAACTTCGTTGTGTCCGGTCACCATGCAGCAATAAACAGTCATTCGGAAGATAAGGGCTATGCCCACTTTCGAACAGAAAAGTATCTGCTCGGGCGCCTAACTTCAGTTCTCCCGTGCACGAACGCAACTTTTTCATTGGAGCCTCTCTCACTGATTTTCCATTACCAACGAAATAAAATCGAAAAGATAGCGGTGCACACTGCCGTAGGTTTGGAAAACTGGCACCATGAGTATCACCGGGGCTTGACTGAATGATGTTCTGCATGAGTTCAGAGCGCGGCAGTCCCATTTATTCGCGAGACGGGATTCATTCTCTGCATTTTAGTCTCTTTGGCCCAGTTGCGTTGCAGCTGTTTTTTTGTGTTGCAACTCACCTCACCTGAAAAATGTTTCATGTTGCATTAAAAAGCATACAGCTGGGGAGACAGCCGTAACTTAGTTGTATGGGATTCTGCCTTTTGGCTGCCTTACACTCAGAGCTCCAAGAAACCTTTGAAGCTACTTAGAGATAAAAAATAACTGATTTTAATTCCCCCGGGTGTCCACAAGTGACTAATGCCTCTTGGGGCTTACTGTGAAGGGCCATATCTAGGAAAGGCTGCTAGGAAAGGGGAGTGTGCACAGATAAAACTGAGGGAGGGGGGGTCAAATTACAAGCGCATCATTAGTCCTGCAGTGCACGTATAAGTGTGACCTCTATTCCTTGTGATATGAATTTGTGATAGCGCCTATGTTTGTAAACAACATTCGTTTAAATAGCTAAGAGAAACCTAGCTCATGACGTCGCACTGAATGTTTGTTTGCTTATATCTTGTAGGTATCCTTCCACCGCTTTCCGAAAGATGCAATAATACACAAGAAGTGGATTGTTGCGATCAAGAAGGATGAAGGCCTGGAATTTCAAGTCGGCAAGTCAACGAAGGTCTGCTCGAAGCATTTTAGGTCATCGGACTTCATGTCTAGCGTTGCGAGTGGCCGCAGCCTCCTTCGGGACTCGGCAGTTCCATCAGTTTTTGCTTTTTTCCAAGGAAAACAAAAAACGGAAACCCCCAAAGCCACATGCTTCACCACAAGTAAGAAGCCAAAACCCGGCTTTAGGCCCAGGAGTGCTGGGCGATGAGCCTACGCATTGCCCAGATGAAGTGGAGGCAGCACCGGTAGGTTTAGAAGAACCCTCTAGGCTCAACAGCTCACTTGAAGGTGAAAATGCACCTTTGTCCGAAACGATAAAACAGAAAAACAAGAAAATCGCGACGGCAAGGTGTACGCTTTCACGGCGAAAGCATGAGATTTGGTTTGCTGCTTGGATGACGTCGGAGCCTGCTTTATAAGGTCTGCTACAGTATCATTCGATATATGCGGCAAGTTTTCTAAACAGTTTGTCCACATCACATGTTCGGGCACTGGGAAACGTCTCGCTGTGGCCATCGCAGTAGCTCAGCGCAGCAAAGCAAGTGTTCTGGAATCGTACGGACGTACTAGCGAACGCGTTGCCGTCGACCGCTCGCCCACATTAAAATGGCGGTGGGGTCAAAATGCACAGTGTTGCCAGAGCACAAAGCAATTTCGCATATGGTCTATTACATGTGCCACATATGATGAAACAGAGGCACAATGACTTTGTAGAGTACAACCAAAAGTTGGTTTAAAATGTTGGTTAAAGTTGGTAATCGCAAAGTCGTCCGCCACCACTAGAAATCCAGTAGTATACATCTACTGCTTTCTTTGTGTGTTGTAGGGGTGCTATTTAACTCTGCATGCACATCCAGTAAATTATTGCAGTTAGCATGGTTAGTTCAGCTGCCAAGTGTAGATGGTGCTGCAGTACGCTTGGCAGGAAGTGAAGTTACGATGGCGTTTGAGGAAAAGAGTTTGCTTTCATGTTGGGTATGGTGTGGTCAGTGGCGCATGGCTCTCAGAGAGGCCCATGAATACAATACCAAGGTTCATTGCAGTAGACTTTTTTGAGACAAGGTATTTTACATGGTAAAAACTGAGTTTGCAAAGGGTCTTCACTTGGAATGAAATCTCGGGGTAACGCTAGTGCTGATGACAACCAGTATATCTGTCACTGCAGCTAATAATGTTGCTTGAGACTGTGCCCACAGCATGCAGATGCAAGAGAAGGGTTGTAAAGGCATAACAGTACCTTTGCCGAGGTGAGTGTTTATGCTCATGTAGCGGGCCGTGCCTGTCAAGCTCTTGTGTTCCCGGTAGGGAATGTGCTTGTTTGTTTCAGGATCTATGTACTCCTTGGCCAAACCGAAGTCAATGATGTGGATGATATTGTGCTTCTTGGTGGACTGCCGTCCAATGAGGAAGTTCTCCGGTTTCACATCCCGGTAGATCAGATGTTTTGTGTGCACATACTCGATTCGATGAAGCTGAAATGAGAAAAAACATGCTATTTAGTAAAAGCGTCTTTTTACTTGTTCGTACATATCTTCCTAGCAAGGCTTTGGGCAACTTGTACATGTCCAAACACTCGCAGTATAGCAAGCCTTATAATAAATGTTGTTTGCCATGAGTGATAAGCAGTAAAGTAGTACTTATATAAGAAAATGGAGAGAAATTGTTCAGCTGTAAAATTGTGGCATATTTTGGCACATAATGTTTGGTTGAAAAAAACTATAAAACATTTCAAATATGTTATTTATCTTTTATATACCGACCAAAGTTACTAGAACATACTTACAAGAATTTTTGTCTTAAAAATTGCATAATTCCAGGCATTTTTTGTGGCCTATAATGATGGAAGCTAAGTAAACCACAGAGTAGCAAGAATAAGAGCCTAAACAACACTATGCATCCTTAGTTGAGTTGACAAATACGGCACGTTTTTGGAATTGGGCAACAAACGAGAATAAAACCTGGGTCAGTTGATCTCATCTTCTACAGCTTTGATGTAAAGCATTTGACACTGTTCCAATCTTCAATTTCTCTGGATCGCTGATAACCTGATAATGATGATGTTCACAAAATATAGGCACAAATTCTGCATATGTTCTGTATAGCTGCGCTTTGACGTGGTAGCAGCGGAGGACAGAGTGGCCAATGTTTCATGCTGCACAAACCTCTTGCATGGCTTAATTGGTACTTCCACTCTTGCAGCGCCTTATCTAAATTTGATGCCAGAAAGGATGAAAAATAAAAGTGAAAAAATGTCACTCATGTCGGAATTCCATAAGTGTAACAGTGACAACTCACTAGTTGAATGGCGGTAAGTAGAACTGTCTTGAGGGAGAACTTGCGGTCGCATAGGTCGAAGAGGTCCTCTAAGCTGGGCCCCAAGAGTTCCATGACCAGAGCATTGTATTTCCCACAGGGTCCAAAATAGTAGACCTTTGGGATGCCTTCTACAATGACACAAAAGCAGGGAAAGACATCAGTGTAGCATGCCTAGGGTCAAGGCAGAAAGTGGCTACAAGCGATGAAAGTACTTTATGCACAGGGTAATAACAAAAGAAAGCAGAAGTACCAGATAAGGACAGGAAAGAGTCTCATAACAGTGTAGTGAGTACAAACCAATAGTGCACAACCGTACAATGTAAGCTGTGAAGTCACCCAGGTTGGGAACATACAAACCTTTATTGTGACCCTTTCTAGCATTGTTGTTTATATACCCAAAGAATCACACAATATGCTTTATTAAACCTCTTCTCGCTTCAAGTTGAAAAAAATTACAAGAAAAAAAAAAGAGAAAGAAAAGGCAAATGTAGCAAAACACACTTTTTCCTTGACACAGCTATGCCTACAGTATACTACATTTACACAGTCAATGTCCCTAACAAATAAAGCCTGATGGATTTTTTGGCAAACAACCTAAATGAATAACTTCAAATGGGTAGCACATAAGACACAGATACAAAAGATAACAGTGGTAGACAGCACAAGCACTTATGTAGTCTACGCCTATCTTTTGTAATGGTGTCTTCGCGCTACCCATTTGAAGTTATGCATTTTTACCAACCTGCCCAACTTGCCGCACTATTGAATTTAAATGGTTTCAAATGTGCTCTTCTGAGGCAGGCCCTATTCTTGATTTCCCACAAGACTAGTGCCATTTTAACAATTCCCTTGTTGCATACAAATGCTCTCATTTTGACAGCACACTACAACTTTGTGAACTTGATGAACTGTCCCTGAAAATCTTAGAATAATAGAGGAGGAGGAGAAAAAGTAAGAATTAGGATAATAAAAATTTATTGTTATTACAATATTAGATTAATAATGCAACATCAAACAGCACAGATACAAAAGAAAAACAGCTTACCATTGTTTCCTAAAAGCTTGTAAAACCTGTATTCTAAATGTAATTGTGGAGCCTTTGACTTCATAGGTTCCTAAAAAGAAAAAGAGAGAAAGGAAAGTTGTGAAGTGGTAGCAAATTTTTATACGCGATGAACAACAGCCATTAGCTTTATGCACATTAACCTTAACTGTAAAAGCCGTTAGACAAAGTTTTGTGTTGCAAAGTATAAACACCAATTGTAGTACTCAAAAACCTAAACTGTAAAAGTCGTTAGACAAAGTTTTGTGTTGCAAAGTATAAACACCAATTGTAGTACTCGAAAACCTAAACTGTAAAAGTCGTTAGACAAAGTTTTGTGTTGCAAAGTATAGACACCAATTGTATTACTCGAAAGAATATACTATATAGTTGCAAAGTATAGACACTAATTGTAGTACTCAAAACGATAACTATAGATTGCCTTGTTCTGTTAACACCACTTTATCAGAGAATCCATTTTTATTGTGCAATAAAGCTAGAAAAATAAATACATTTGTAAATAAGAAATGGGGGGGGGGGGGGGGGTCCTTAAGAGTTGAACATGAAATACACATACCCCCCCCCCCCCACACACACACTGTCATCTTCCTAATCGTCAGCCTGCCTTCATTCGCTAAGGAGAGCGAAAATTTGACAGCTTTGGCTCCTATCTTTGCCTCGACTTTTCAGTCACAGTCAACACTGCTTTTTCACCCACGATTAAAGGCGCTACACAATTGACACCAATATTTCTGTGAAATTGCTCAAGCCTGAAGGGATAAAATATGATTGTTATTGGACCTTGCTCGTATCATTTTCTCATCCACATTTTCTTCTTTGTGGACACAGCGCCTCATGGGAACGAATGTCTGTGTATGACATTTTCAGCGTGTGAAAATGTGGAGAGGTGCTTGCAGTTATCTAAGGTGTATGAAAAAAAATGAAACATTGCTGCCCAATCTAGGGTATATCGACCAATCCGGATTGCAATTGTTATTAGAAATTTGTTGAAAAGGTGCCTCAAAGTGTTTATATTTTACTTTTTAACCAAACTCACACCAGTTGATTTTATTGTAATCGAAGAAGTCCTGCTCAAAACATCACAGATGTCCAACAAAGATGACCACAAGGTCAGCCTGCACGAAAACCAGCAGGAACCTATATTTGTGGCATCACATTCCTTACACTAGCCCAATTAGTAGCATCAGCACCTTACGATGTGCTACAAGCAGTGATAAACAGTAAGCTAGTGTGTTTCTGACTATGCCTGCACAAGGACATCCAGTATCAAAGGAAGGGTGTCTGGACGAGCCTCTGAGGCATTCAGGGGAACATTGAGGTTGAAAAAATACAAAAAAAAATAATTGGGTCTTTCTCCAACTTTCATGCATACCACAGACTTGAAGCAGTAGCAGTAAAACTGAAAGTTGGGCGAGTTGGTGGTTCTTCATTGCTGATATTATAGCATGCACAGAAGAGACAGTGATACGGACAAACAATATCTAGCATAAAGTAAGTACAATCTGCAATCTAAATATTTACATATTGCTCTGCTTCAGTCGTAACAAAAGGTGCAGTGATTATTCCCTAACATATGACGTTAATGTTTAGTCTAAATGCATGAAATTAAGCATCATGTTTAGCTGCTTCTTTTTTTTGCAGTGAAAGTTCAAGCAGAATAAGAGGCCACCAATTTCATCTCAAGCAGTTTATCATGATAAGCTAGCCCATAAACCAAAAGCGAATTCGGGTAATCCGTCCACAAAAGTCCACTGCACCAGTACAGTGGACTGATATGGACTTACTGAGCCCCAAAAACTTCCCTTAAAAGCTACAGCAACTATTCTGCTTTCATTCAAAATTGCATATGCAAAGATTTTATTTACCTCTCATATTTTTGTATAGTTTTACATACAGAGCGTATGCAGTTGCACACAGAATTTTTAAGCAAGTAACTATGTTCCCCTAAAGCAACATTTAAGAATGAGTATGCATATTAGAATAAAGAACTCCAGCATCAGTGCTTCTGTAAGCAGAAGAAGAGCAGGAGGAATTTAGTCAACAGAAGTAAACAACATAAGCTGTGATTGCATGGAATCTTTCCTACAAGCGATCTTGCAAGGTGGGCATTTTGTAAATACCACAAACATAAGGCATGGCGCATTCGCCCCGATTCATCAAGCATGGAGGAAGCGAGCTGGATCGCACACGTACAGGAAGTATGCTGCCATGACACTCATCACTTTAGAATTCACAGAATGCAACCAATAATATGCACAAAAACGAGCAGGGAGAAAGTGAGCAAAGCACACAAATACGCTGCTAAGAAAGGCACTAACAAGGACACATTCTCTTGTCAAAATGTCGGCTGCAAAGACAAAACTAGGAATGCAACCAAGCTTTAACATTAGAAGTACTACCACATTCAGCACCATGGTTTCATAACGCCTTAAATATACATGCAAAGGATCTGTAGGAAGCCTAAAATACACCCACACACACACACAACACACTAAAGCTAGGCTTCTTCATTTTCAGAGTGTAAATGTTTTGCAATATAAAAGAATGAAAAGGAAAATCAAAAGGCTGCATATTCAAAAATTTTTTTAAATGTGGGCCCTTCAAATGCAAGCCTAGTAAGGTAGGCACATCTACATGTTTCAACTTTTATGTCTATATCTTAGTTATTGGGGAACCCATAACAACAACGAGTCTTACACATCAGAATATAGGCAGCAGTAATGAGCCTTTCTAAATCCACTCTTGGGACTGTACGAAATTTTCCATCTTGTAAAATAAGTGCTACACGCATTTCACTACTGTACCTTTTACACTTTCTAATGCTCCACCCCTTGCGCAGAAATGGTGCCCGGCCACTAATAGCAATACTTGCCAAGCAATAATGTCAAGAAATATGATTTTAGCAGGCATTTGCAAATAGTGAATTTGGAACTGAATCGAATAGCAATAACAACGAATTGAATACAAATACTAATCGAATGGTATTCACATTGTTTTCTAATAGTAAGCAAACCATTTTAGAAACAGCCCGAGAATCCCACAACACTTTATTTGAAACGAATATTTACAAGTTCTACTAAAGAACTACTTCGGTTGCTTTTAACAACAACAACAAAAAAAAACCAATTATGTGAACTGTTACAAACTCGTATACAGCAACAACTAAAGCCTCAGCAATATTTTGTAAGCACAAGTTGAAATACAGAAATAATTAAAGCATTCTATGTGGCACTGTTCGAACATGTTTTAAATATAAATAATATTTATCATAATATAATATAACTAATAGACAATATTCATGAGTCAACATCACGAAAGTCATGATGAAGAGAATGATTGCTCCTGTCTTCTTCAGTGAAACTAGAGTTTTAAGTAAATATATACTTTAGTCTCTTGAAAACCTCAAGCGGGATGCGTCTCGGTATAATTCCGCAAATAAAACAAGAAATAAAGCTATTCTTTGTTTCAAACTATCGTTTATTTCTCATTTTTTGATCAGCGCTTATTTAAAAAATACTCCAAAATTATTCAGTGTTTCTATTGAAAAATACTCAAAATTATTTGGTGTTTCTATTATGTCCTATTCGATACGAGTACCAAATCAATTCATTATTTTAAATTCTCGTATATTTACAGCACCCTAGGTTTTAGATTTTAAATGTTTCCCACGAAGACATCTTGAACATCAGTTCAGTAGTTGCATGAAAAAAAAAAAAAAAGAGGAGAGAGAGAGAGAGAGAAAGCATACGTGAACTTCAACTGAGGAAGGATAGGACCACTTTACTTTTACATACTTCAGCAAATTATACAGCTATTCATGTATATATTCCTTGCATTACTGATGTGTTTGCCATTAATAAATGTGGCACAGCGGGTACAATAGCAGAAACAGCATTTGGAACAATTTTAGTAGCAGTGTAATGTTACTTTCTGGGCATGAAAATCCAAATCCAAGGGACGCGGGGATCAAATCGCGAAATTCTCGCAAAAAAACGAATTTTGGATAAGGGCAGATTTGGATTCTGCATCACCATTTCTATCATATCTAAAAATATTTCCGCTGAAAACGATCTCAAAGTAAGCTTAAAAAATGTTTTTCTGACCGCGGATCGCAAAAAGTTGGCTGAAATCTGCGCGAAAATGGCCCATTTCCGAGCGCGATACTTCCGCGCCTTCGCCGCCGCTCGCGGAAAGCTTGGTGTCACTGGAAAGCTTGCTTCACCGCCGTACTTCTCCCGGTGAAACCACGACTCTACGAGCTAAGATAAACGCACAAACAGAAAAAATGCGAAGGCATCCGCGACGCCTTAGACGCGCACCCATTGGTCGCTCCTGTCACGTGGTACTGAGCGCGCTCTGTGAGTGGCTGCTGGGACGCGCTTGCTTGCGCTGGTCGTCTGCTCCGCGCACGCACGTCTGCTACGCACACGCTGGCGCACTATAGTTTGCGAATCCCCTGCCGATACGCCGATACGGTCGCCGATACGCCAACTCTTCTCTAGCGCGAGGCTTAGCGCCTGCAATGGATCGTCGCGTGGACCGGAAGCACAGGACGAAGTACCGGACGAAGTACGCTTACGGGAAGCGTAAGCGCAAGCCTCCTGTTGGGAAAACGAAGCAGTCAGCAGCGATTGAATCAGACGAACTGAGTACCGCGTCGCCACCAAGCTACGTGTCGTCAGAAGCCGACATCTGCTCACTGCCGATGCTCGGCAGTGAGGCCTATGACGCGGGGCCGTCAACTAGCCGCGACATCGCGGTGCGGTTCGAGTGCGACAGAAGTCTCGTTTCCGTGGCGGCGGATGACGACGTCGTGCCAGCTCTTCGGAATGATGGCGAGTCGACGGCCGGTAGTAAGGCCTATGACCCGGGGCCGTCAACTAGCCGCGACGTTGCGGTGCGGCCCGAACGCGAAAGAAGTTTCGTTTTCGCTGCGGCGGGTGACGATGCGGTGCCGGCTGTTCAAAGTGACGGTGAATAGACGCCTGGCAGTGACACTGAAGACCCGGGGCCATCAACTAGCCGCGGCATCACGGTGCGGTGTGAACGCGAGAAAAGTTTCGTTTTCGCGGCGGCGGACGACGACGTGGTGCCAGCTGTCCAGGATGTCGGTGATCGTTTGCCTCAGCGGAAGCGCACCGTTCAAATACCCCTGGAACCTCGTTTCGTGTCCTCGGAAGGCGCCGAGAAGCAAGCCAGTAGTGTCCGCGATGCACTTCGCGAGGTGTCGGCAACGGAGCGGAAGTTCGGGTTCGCGCAGCAAACGGAGCAAACATCGGCAACAAAAGAGGATGAGTTCACCCTAATTCAGGTTTCTGCCATGAATTCCCTAATAGGACCTGCACTCTGCCCAAAATGTTGTAAGAAGACTTTGTCAGTGCAGCATGGGACAAAATTGGGCCTGGCAGTAAAACTGGTACTTTTGTGTGCTTCCTGTGGCCCTATTCATTCACCTTGGTCATCCAGTAGAAAATCCGAAGGAAGGGCTTTTGAAGTCAACCTAAGAGCCATGCAAGCAATCAAGTCCATTGGAAAAGGGCCCACTGCCCTGAATGACTTCTGGGCTACAATGAATGTCTCTCATCGGGGCATTCATCGAAAAACCTATCAGGAACACCTAAAAAAAACATTCAAACCAGGAGCAGAGGAAGCTGCACAAAACATCTTTGCAGATGCTGTGCTTGCGGTAAAAGACGTGTACAGTAAGATGCAGCCATCAAGCCCAAACAACATCACAGTTGTGTATGACGGCACGTGGCTTACAAGAGGCCACAGCTCACACATTGGGGTAGGATGTATTATTGAGTTTTACACGGGGCTTGTGCTGGATTGCACAGTCCTTTCCAACTTCTGTCTTGGGTGTTGTCAACAACCAGCAGAGAGCGACCCCAACTTCGTCACTTGGGCTGAGAAACATCAATGTCAGAAGAATACTGATGTTGGCTCCGGACAGATGGAAGTGGAGGCTGCTCCGACACTTTTCAGGCGCTCTGTCAGCAGGTATGGCCTCCGCTACACCAACATTATATGTGATGGTGACAGCCGAACCTATCTTGCTCTGTGCAAAGATGAGGTGTACGGCTTCATACCACTGACCAAAGAAGACTGCGTGAACCATGTGCAGAAGAGAATGGGCACCGCTCTCCGCACACTGGTGACAAGAGCTAAGAAAGGGGAGCCATTGGGTGGGAGAGGTGGACTGACGCAGGAGTTGATTAAAAAACTGACCAGCTACTACGGGTTAGCCTTGCGAAAACACACAAGTGTCCCTGACATGCAAAGGGCCGTGATGGCCACTTTTTATCACGTCACGTCCACCGACGACGAGCCTCACCATGAGCTCTGCGAACCTGGCCCTGATAGCTGGTGCAAACATCGTTCAGCACAGGCCAAAATGGAGCCAGCACCACCTCACAGGTATAACCTGTCGAAACGTGTAGCGGAGGCTCTGCTGCCTGTATACCAACGTCTCTCTGACCCGCAACTGTTGGAGCGATGCAAAGGCAACAAAACTCAGAATGCGGCGGAAAGCTTGCATTCAGTTATTTGGTCACTGACTTCAAAGGACCAACACGCTTCATTGTTCGCAGTGGAGACAACAGTACATGAAGCAGTTGCACGCTACAATTTTGGGAATTTGCGAGCCTACACTGAAATGTGCAAGTCCGTGGGCATCAAACCTGCTAGCCTCGCCCTTCAAAGAGCTGAAGAAAAAGACCAGCAAAGAAAACGAAAAGCACGCAGTGCAGAAAAAATGAAAGAGAAAGGACGTAAGAAGACCCTTGCAAGCAAAGACACAAAGTATTACAGTCCCGGGGCATTTTGATGGACCTTTACTGACTGTTCAACTTTAACGCAGTTTTCTCAGAAACGTGTTTTGACCCGACTGTCCAGCTTGCCACGATGCTTGCATGACTATGGCTTGACGGATTTTCATGTGGTTTTTTGCATTGTGTTCCTCAGTGAATTTTCTATGTTGTGACGTTTTCATATTTGTTAATTACTACCTCAGTATTTTTACTCCTAAGCTAATTTCACATTATGATAACGACCACATTTACAAGCATGTATACAATGTTCTCTGTAAAATAAAAACAGAGTCATAAAAATATTTGCAGAATGTCACGACATCAACCATCCCAATGGCTAAAATATAAGAGCAACTATAGGCTTCTACCATGTTTTTTTGTCACACCAGGCTTTGGGCAAGTTTGGTAGTACACTGATGGATAAAAAAATTTATAATGCCAGAACTACTGGAGATAGCTGAACGAAACTTTGTCATTTATCATTTAGCGCAGTTTCCAGTAAGCATGCCAAATTTCATTGTTCTACGACAAAAACTAAAGAATTTCACTTTCGATCCCCACCTCCCCCCTTAAAGCAAGTTATAGAAGAAAAAAAAAAAACAACAGTTTTTGATATTTCTCATCACAAAATAGCTCATTTGGAGCAGCCTGATGAAGGAGGAAGCTGACAATTGAAAAAGCAAACGAAATATTTACAAACCATTCAACATCCCCTCAATTGTGCACAGTGAACTTGAGCACTGTTATTTCAATTAAAGCATTACTTGAACCACCCCACTGTGCAAACCATCATAAAATCCACATTAGCGTTAGCAGCTTTAGTCAAATCTTTAACAGACTGCAAATTAAATTGTAGATATGCCAAACTGTTATTTCTTAGGGTTGTAGAAACATCACACATCAAAATGATTGCCAGTAATCTTTTTTAGATGTCAGGAATCATACTAGTACAATTATGCAGCATATATGCGCACGAGTAATTTTGGAACAAAATGTGCTGTGTTCCTTGAATACTGCTAACAACCCCTCCTAAGACGTGATAAGACTTTTCTGCAGGACACCGGTGTATGCAGAAAAGGTGTCTCAAAGGAACACTACAGGGGAGCAATGACTTGGTTTAGATTGATAAACTGCACTCTGAGAACTCTAATGCTGCATGTTTCACTCTCATATAAGTTCATTGTTAGCACAAAAAAAAATCAAAGTTAAAGTTAAAGTTTCGTATTTTCTAAATTTTACACCAAAATCTCTATGCATGGCGTAAGAAATTTTAAAATATATTTTTGACATCTTCAAGCATTGGTTAGATGAAAATTTCGACACTACGTATGCTAAGGTACGGTTCTGACATAATGACATAATGTACGGTTCTGACATGTAATGTACTTCATTTTTATCAATTGGATGCTACGTAGAGCCCTGTGTATGCCTTCAAAATTTTTTCCTACGTCCAAGTCTTTGGTACAGGAACCTCAAGACGGCATTCGCCACCCGCATTTTCTTTTTGTGCGCTTTCTCGCTTACTAAGCATCTTGTTGTCGCGGTAAGGCTGGTGTTTTCAGGATTGTGAAATTGTATTTTACAACCCCCGCTCTCCCATTTTTTTCAATGTAGGGTAAGACTTGGAGCACAACTCGGCTAAAAAAAGAACATTTTTTTTTTTTTGGCACATCGTGGGGCAACCGATGTGTGAAGGTGCTTCCCGACAGTACTTGAAGGCTGTGCAAGAAAGCTAGCTTTGCGGAAATTTTCAGAGAATTTTTTCAGAGAGACTTCACAACCGAAACTAGTTTTCGATTCTAGGTACACCCCCCCCCCAACTTCGGATTTCAACTTAAGACAAAATGGGTCGACCTACAATCACGTAAATTAGTGCATATCAAAAATTTAATTTTGAGACTGGTCGAGCAGAATTGTATCATACTAGCGCGATTGTTGCACCCCTGACAATAAAGTTAAAAAAAATATTTCCAATTCATCGCAAGTAGCCTGAATGAAATCCGTTTCATGAAATGAAGTGTAAGCCTAGCAGTGACAGCAAAGTGATAATGGCATCAGCAGTTGCTACTTTTCATATACTAATTATAAATATTAATTGTTGAGGTTTAACATCCAAAAACCACCATATGACTAAGAGACATCGTAGTGGAGGGCTCCGGAAATTTCAACCACCTGGGGTTTTTTAACGTTCACCTAAATTTAAGCACACGAACCTCAAGCATTTTCACCTCCATCGAAAATGCGGCCGCCATGGCTGGGATTAAATCCCGCGACCTGGGGTTCAGCAGACGAGTGCCTTAGCCACTAAACCACAGTGGCGGGTACTTTTCACGTACTATTTTTCATATAAACGAAACAGTAAATGTCTCATACTTACACCTCATAGATTTTAGGTTCTTTTCACACCAGGTTGCATGCTCATCTGAACCTAATACCAGCCCCACAATCTGTATTTCTAGACTGTTTATATTCTCAAAGCTTTCTCTTTTATCTCTAGGGTGGTCAGATTCCCTGCTTAAGCTTATAATGTTGACTTTCAAGTTTCAATATTCGAATCCACAGCTAATTTCTCATTCAGTACTACAGTTCAGTTCCCTCTGCCAAAGCAGTACTACTTCAGAGATGATAAGAGTTGACTCAAATTACGGAGCCTTCAGCCACTCATGGTTTTAGAATATTTATATTCATATTCTCTCATGTCCAGAGAGTTGTGCGGCAATGCTAGTACACACTAATAATTTGAAAGCCTCTCAATATTTCTGGTTCATAAATGATTCTATATCTGATACCACAAGTTTCGTACAGAAAAAATAAAAGTTACTTACCAACTTAATTGCAACATGTTCATTATTGTAGAGGTTCTTTCCTGCAAGAAAAAAAAAACACATAAAAATTAAGATATTATAAAGAGCTGCTCATCTATACCCTATCAACTCATAGCAATACTGGTCACTTGGTTCTGATAATGTTAACCACACTGACTTTAGTCAATTTGAGTGATCCTGTGATGCAATAATACATGTTTAGAGTAGTATGCATGCACTGAAAACACGACTTCGTCTTTGCCAACTTCAGGCTAGATCTGATACCACAAAGCAGTAATAATGAAAACAAAACGAAAGTCACAACTTGGCAGAACATACCAGTTATGACCGATAAACATTGTATATAACTACACAGATCGACCCTTAATTACATGCACAAGTAGTCAATGTCACGGGTAGTTTGCGGTAACACCGAACAATCACACTGCTTCGCCCACTCATCATTATTCACTTCTTAGACTTCAGGAATATGCAGAGTTTCAAAAAAAAGAAAATATAGGCTAAGCCTTGTAGGGTTCTCGATGTATGCACTGCTGTTGAATTTTCGCACAACTCTCAAAGTAATGGGTGAAACATAGATGTAGATGGACGAATACGTACGCCATTAGCCAGCTGCAGGTTATGTGTGTGCATTACTGTTCAAATTAACTCTCCGGTTTCTATGCCTTGACTGTTTAAAGTTAAGCAAAATTCTGTAATATCTGAAAGATTATCTGGTTCCACTTGGAATGTCGCAATTTGTTACAAAGCTCTTGGAACAAAGGGAGAACAAACACCGATGCCAGTGTTGACTCGTATCATCATTGAAAGTTTGTGGTGTCTGATCGTTGCTCAGGATAAGAAACAGATTTACAAGGGGTCAGCTCAAACTTATGTGTAAAAGCAACACAATGAGAAAAAGAAAATAAACATGAAACACATCTAGAAGCATGGCATGTCGTGAGTTTGCTTTGGAGTGAGCAGCCACTACTGCCGGTATGTCGAAAATACCATCGTTTTTGCTAAGATTGTCGTCAGTTTTTTAATTAGTACTTAACATGCATCACAGCGAACACACATGTTCAGGCAATTTCCCGACTTAAACCTTTTCTGAAGCTTTACCTTCAAAATATATTTTCCTTCTTAAAATGTGCAGCACATTATGAGTTACTTAACCAAATGTGTGACGTTTTCAGGAAACTCAGAACTGCTGAGAAAGTTAGGAAGGCCGAGCAAGAAACTCAAATCAGTCGAAGCTGGTTGTTCTATACTCTCTAAATTCCTTATTACAGCACTTATTCACAGTTTTTTTTGTAGCAGCATGTCAATCAATTAGAAATTTTTGACAAACGCAATGCTCTCATTTTTTCCGCTCCCCAAAACTAATTGAACAGGTAGCGCAGGCCATTTGGACATTTGTATTACTATGGATCACAATGCTCCTTTCCATAAAGTTTTCAGTCACTCCTGTTTTGGGATGACACTATTGCAACAGATGTCACCTCCTTTAGACACTAGGAAGTGCACGTCAATGTGTTTAAGGCAGCACTTATAAGGCAGTGCAATGATCAACCAGAAAAACACAGAGAATAGTGGTAATCATCCAACGTATACGTGCAGAGAATTATGAAAAGCATAGCTTGGCTTCCACTGCTTGATGAAGTTGACAAAAATGAGCACAGCGTTGAGGAGAGTAACACTTAGCCATAGCTTCCTCGAAAGTGCTTTGCTTTAATTAACATGTGAATGATTCACTTTATTTGTGGTCTAACTGTTTATACATAATATTGAAAAATAATTTCACAGATCTTTCAGCTGATTAACCCTATAAATAGTCAGCTGCAGAAATAGGGGAGAATCATTATAGTGTGTTTTTTGTGTATGATGTTATATATACAACTAATTAGTTTTAATTATTAAAGAACTTAATCAAACTAATTAAAGAACTTCATCCTAACAACCAAGTCAGCTATGTTTAAGTGCCCAGGCTGACCATTATAGAAAGACATCAAGGATACCTTCATACTATTACTGAATAAAGCAAGAATGACAATGCCGACGACAAAGCATTTGTAATGTGTCATCCCTACAAAATCAAGAAAGTTAAAGCTCTACAAAAATTCATTTAGGGGCTCCTTTTAAAAATAAAAATAAAAGAAAGAGAAGAAGTTATATCATTTGCCTCGGGCTATAACGCGAAAATATAACAGTTCAGCCTCAGAGTAGAAAGAAAACAAGAATGTCAGACACACCCCCACCAGCTCACACGCACGACAACCTGTCAGGCCAGGGTGTGCTTGCTACTTGGAGAGAGAGAGAGAGAGAAAGAGAGAAAAAAGAAACAGTGAAACCAGCCTGCCAGCCTGCAATACGAACATGTTCAAGGACACTTGGGAAAAGGAAGCGGTGATTATGAGCTGCAGGGACAAAAGTGGAGAAGGGGGAAATGCTCTCACACTATTGCCCAACTCGTACAAACCACAATGATGATGGGGCACGACACAATGTTTGCGCTTACTTCCATGGCAACTGGCACAACGCTAATGATCAATAGGAGTGAGCTACAGCAACCCAAAGAAGAGAGAGAGAGGTAGAGCAAGAAAAAAAAAGGAAACCACAACAAAGAGGAAGTGAAATGCAATCCGTAGTGTTTGTAGCAATGGTAAGAAAATGTGCAGCTTAAAATATTTTAGTCACCAGAGGAAGCAGCTAATAGAGATGGATATCCACCATATTTAAATTAAAATATTTTGCCAGTGCACAACTGTCCATGCAAGTCGTCCATTACAAAACCACAGGGATGCCCATTTCCATTTTTTCGTGTATTGTTTCGGAGGTTAACCTTGCCATTTTCAAGTTTTTTTGTTTGTTTGCAACCTCAAAAGCAAGCCAGTGCCCTTTGTGTACTCATAGCGCAGCTGCAAGTGTTTTGACAATCAGCTACGGAGATCCAATGCACAAGACAGAATAAAAAGTTATAGAGTAGTAAGTTAAGAAGACATGTTTGTGAACCAAGCATGAAAGAGTGCCTTTCGAATGTTGATAGCAGCAGAACATTAAAGAAATGGCAAATTAAGCAGAGTCCAGCAGAACACATACCCAGTTAGTACACACAATGGGAGACAAAAGAAGAAAGGAAGATTATACATTAATAAATATTGAGCTATGTTAGAATACTACTCCAAAAACAGTGAAACCAAATTGAGGACTATTTATCCAGAAGCCTTCATATCCCATTCGTAACAAATCTTGCAATAGCGGCACAGTGAATCTCGAGCATCTTGCCAAACTTAAAAACACCAAATCTCATTTCTCGTACCGCCTCTGAATTTGAAAAATATACTTCATAAATGACAAAACTTATCCTGGCGACTGTGCAGCAAAAAACTAAACATTATATCCTCCTCAAAGTACCTTTAGCAATATAAACGTCGCCTATGTTTCGACTGCTGATAAGGCATTTGTTATCTATAACATTGTGGTGTATCCCATGCTAAGAAATATTATACAAGTATTTTTATGTAAATGACTTGAAGAGCTGAATAAGGATAAGAACTGAGCAGGTGTCACAAATGAACAATTTGGGAAATACAGTGTAAGCCACTTATAACAACATCAAATAATAAAGATACCGTTGAACCTCTAAAAAAAAAAAAATCAGGGTAAAGCACTTTTGTCCATTCTTGTGAGAATTTTGTGGTTGCGATACCCCCTATTACTTTGCAGGACCAACATTTATTTAAAGAAGTCCCTGATCTTGTCCCGTTTCACGTTGCTTTGAAGAAGCTTGACAGCCAAGCCTTGCACCTTGACAAGCTTTCCAGTTTCAACAAGAACCCTAGACTTCTGAAGTATCAAATGTTAAGCTTTCTTATTGGAGCCGGAATCTATCTGGTATGCAAAAAAAAAAAAAAAAAAAAACTGCCCTTAAGCAAAGCGCAGGAGATCTCAGCGTGCACATGTAGACATATGGCAGCAAGCAGTTACGCAGCCTACAGAATGTCTTAGCATTACGTCCCGTTCTGATGTAATTGTCAACACAAGCATTAGGTGAAAAAAAAAATATTGTATGCAAAAGGAAAGGTCTTGTTGCTATAATCATCATCCGACAGAACATAAACAGCAATGGTTGCACCGATGCAATTTTCGAGTTCTTAGTTGCGACCAAGTTCATGGGTTGAAAAAAAGGTTGCAGATCACAACTTGAAAGTTTTAAAATTGTGCAAGAACTTTTTAAAATTGCTGCCATGAGTGGGCGATGCTTTGAACTTTATGAACATTTGCCAGGGATGCCACATTTCTTCACTGCTACAAAAATTTTGTTCTTGAGGGCTTTTGTTACTGGAAGATTAACTCTATACTACCCATAGCCTACATGTTCTTCGGAGTCCTTGATTTCTCTATTACCAGCACATAAAGAAAAAACGACATATGGCGATGCCAATATTAGCCATGTAATACAACAGAAGTATGGCCACCCGGCAGGTGCTTCAAATGTTGGCCTGGGAGATTGATAAGAATAAAATACTTGGAAGAGACTGATGTGAAAAATTCATCACAAGTGCCACAAACAGGCCGCCATTAGGAAATCTCATGAGAGGGTGCTGCGCGCGGCAACGTCATATTTTCACCATCACGATCACTGGAGAAAAGAGGGAAAGAGCTTGCTTCGTCCCTGCACTACAATGCCTGGCGACAATTTCCAACACAAGTTTCCACTACTTATGTGCTCACAGAATATGTTGCTGACTGAATGCAAAGTGGTATCCCTTGTGTTTCAGCAATGAATGCGTCGTGTTTTTAGAAAGTTGTAACCTCAAAAAAATATATGGGCTTTCGAACTCTACAATTTCAATTACTTTCATGATCCAGAAGGCTGAAGACGCTCTCAAGAATTTCGGCTTGTCACAAATTTTCACCAGTTTTTTCAGCCCATAGAAATTACTTTATTTCCAACACAAGTTTCCACTACTTATGTGCTCACAGAATATGTTGCTGACTGAATGCAAAGTGGTATCCCTTGTGTTTCAGCAATGAATGCGTCGTGTTTTTAGAAAGTTGT